TGTTGTTGTTGTTGTTGTTGTTGTTGTTGTTGTTGTTGTTGTTGTTGTTGTTGTTGTTGTTGTTGTTGTTGCTGTTGTTGTTGCTGTTGTTGCTGTTGCTGTTGTTGTTGTTGTTGCAAACTTCCTTGCTGTTGTGTTGGTTGCAAGGGAGTGAATTTTCCTGATAATACAAACAGTGAATGATGTCTTTCCCTATTTGAAAGCGAAAAAGAAGGATGGTGTGCCAGATATGGTGGAGTATTAATCAATGGACTGCTACCCGTTGAAACAGAATTAATTGGAGTTCCGGACGTCGAAGAATCAAAGTCTTCAAAACTTGACCTTTGACTATTGTTATCACTTTCGGGCGTTCCAGGGTATACGGAAGGAGGATATAGTCCTGAGTGAGCTCGCGGTTTTGGCGATAAACTTCTTTTCAATAAACTCTGTGACGATGAAGAGGTTGACAAACTCCTACGTGTTCTCCTTGCCTTAAAGTAATCGTCTACTTGGTATGATGGAATGGGAAGCACAGTCAAGGCAGGATTAGGAGAGAGTGAAGGGGAAAGAGAGGGAGAAACGGAAATAGAAGTGGACGGAAGCGAGGCGGGAAGATGCGTAGAATGTTCTCCTGGGAGAGAGCGAGATATGTATGGATGGCGGTCTTCCATATGAATGAAAGCGGAAAACGGAATCAGAGATCTTGGATGCTATATGAATGTTATTTGACAGAGTTACGGAAGATATAAGTGGGATTATAGGGATTGTAGTTAGAGGGAGAGGGGAGTATGTTTTATTGTTTTATTGTTTTGTCTCCGGGAGTTGTATATTCTTATCTTGCGGTTTTGAATGGATGGTAGTATTCTATAATTGCAGTTTGCATGGAGACTATTTTGTGATTAATTATAGTTTATGTGTAAATAATTCGGTGGGTGTTTATGATATAAAACACGCTTATGTTAAATTCTCTTCTCTCTAATTATTCTGCCTCTCTCCAGCGGGTCCTTCTAGCAAGAAATTTTCCCCCCTATTTTTGGGATGATAACAATATGGACCCTCTCCTTTGGTCGTGAATGATGATGGTCAGAGTGGGACAAAATTTGTGTGGTTGGTGAAATTCTTGGAGCGGATGGCTGGCTTTATAACCTATTTGTTATTGTATTGGAACGGGCAAATAAAATACCAAGAGTACTTCTAACAATACTCGTTGGTATTTATTGTATTCTGCAAGTATTGATTGACCGCTGATGGTTATGCTGTTGGGCGTATGTTTGCCTGCATAGCATCCGTGAATATTGTAGAGAACATGTAAACCCGAGACAAATGTCGATATAACTTTAACGTAAAAAAGTATGCTGAGCATGTATCAGCACGAATCTATTTGCATTATTGGGACGATTGGGTTCTACATGACGACAAACCTGTAATATTTATGAACAGAATGCTGCTAATTAACCCATTGCTGCATTCTTATGGCTTCATTTGTGCTTAACTAATAATATCGACCACATTGTAACACTATTACTGGTATTCAGCGGGGGGAAAGTATAAAAAGATGTGTGTGAGATGTGTGTGAGATGAGTGCGGGGGAACTTCATAAAAGGTATTTGGCAATTCACATATGAAGAATAGTTGAACGTATATGGATATTTTGAAGAGGTGGCTGATGTTCCTACATACTCTTGCAGTAATCGTTAGAACTGTCGTTGTTAATGAAAATGATATTCTTTGTTGGACAGGCTGCACGTATTACCTGTAATAACTATATTATTAAACAATATGGGCAACATGCATCTAATATATAGTCATAGGGCGTGCTGCAACAGACCAGAAGTGAACATGTGACGTTTATGCAGCCCCCAGTGTTTCCTGTTTTCTTTTTTCCTTACCATACCGATACAGCCGCTATCCCTAAAAAGGAGAGATTTTTGTTATCCCTCGATTCCTTTTCTATTTTGTTCTCCTGCCTTTGCGTTAGTTCTTCTTTTATTTGTTTCTGAACTCGGATGTGTGTAGTTGATCAAAGGCGTACCCCGGGACAATTGGATCCGAGGGGAAAGAATACCATCGGATTTGCTATAAACAATTCTACTGGGTTGCACGGTTTTTGTTTGGTTTTGTTCAATCGTCATTGCTAGTTGAACACAAGACTATGCGAGGAGATCTCCAGAAAGAGCAGGCTCAACATTGAATAGATAGTTCCAACGAGTTCATCACAATAAGAATGTATCAGCGTTGTAGCAGTAGTTGATAATGAATCAAGTTCGGAGTCTGGATAATTTATTGAGGGTCTATGTTTGATTGGGTGTCTTACAGTGTTCAGATGATCATATTCAACTGTCACATATTTAATGGCTTGGCTTGGAAACTCCGTAACACACGACCTGAATATTTATTGGGTGTACACGAGAAGACATTCTGTAGACATCTTTTGATCTGACTATACCAGTTCCATTTAGGAATCTCCGTTTTAGTAAGTATGTTTTAATCCGATCCACGAAAATTTAAAGGTTGAAATCGGAAAAATGTCACAAAGGAAAAAGAGGTATTCAATGTGGCGCTTTGTGAACTAAGGCCAAGCCACTGACACAATGCTCAGCCACCACTTCTCGGCAAAGACACCTACTGCGTTTTATGATATACGAGATAGATTACATCTTTTTATTTAATGCAAGCCCGGCTATGCGTCCTATGTCTCTGCTCCTGTCGGGCCATTCAGTACGTGCGGATTGATAAGAACGCGACAGTCCATGAGGTTACATGAGGTTTCACTATGTCTGCATCTAATATCTATTATTTGATGATTATTCACATATCAAGATGGGTCGTTGTGTAGATCGATTAGATAGAGTAAATGACTAAATCCAGAAAAGCGAGTACAAATAGGATGATAATAAGCATGAAGGAGTGACACCACATTATTGCTAGGTGTGGGGATATTTGCAGATTCGTGAATTGTGATGGGGTCAACATAACATTGTCCAATTAACCAATCGCAGTATTAGTATTCCGAGGCTTGCATTCTCATTACAGTATGAGAATCACAACAATGTTTACAGAAAACATTGCGCCACAAAAGTTTCAGGGGTCAGATCGTCAAGGGTCACAGCAACATATTTGTTTTATCCCCTACTTCCTACTTACTATTATCAACAAACTTAGTTACGGAATGATAATTTTTTCAAGCTGAGCACACTATTCTGAGAACGGTATTAATCCTACCGAGCGTTCCTATTGTTACAAAGTATAACAAAGTCGTGATTCAAGTGATTTTCAACCTAGCAGTTTATGTAATCTTGTATTATTAATTAATTTACTACAGCATTGAAATCAGGCAACTCTTTGTCTGCTTTAACATCAATAATATTGCCTTATCGGCCCAAGTCTTCCAGACTGTTGTAAACTGAATAATATTACAAGGCCTATATTTATAGAGTTTAACCCAATCAGCTTCATCCGTACGCGAACAACGATGTTGCAAGCATAGCTAACAGCAATATATTAAGCATACTAGCTTTAGCAGGAAGTATTATCTATTAATCCTGCATCTACTTTCTTAGTTGTTTTAACAGTATTAGTATCAGAGCACAATCGGTAAACTAATTTCAAAAACTTCAGAACATATACACTGTTATTTTTGACACCTTACGATAGGCTGTTGGGGCACTTGAATTCTTAATAAAATTACAATTTTTGGGTTTTTAGATTCTTAGAATGCGATGCAACAAGCTTTGTGCAAAATGTACCGTACATGTTAATATGTAACTCCCGAATATCGAAAAAAACCTCTAGCTTTTACGATGCTGCGTAGATTACACATCACCAACAATCGTCTCGTTGATTTAGTAAATAAACACACGTTAACACAAGCCCCCTAACCGGTTTTGTAAATTAAAGTTTAGTTTAATCCATTTTCGCAATCATGGAAACAAATTTCGTTACCCTTTTTAAGGATATAAAGACGCCTATCAAGTCACAGATTCTGTGAAAATTCTACTTTCAGCATCAAAGTTGGATGTTTGCCTTCGATATTGTCTCGAGTTGATTTTAATTAAAAGCATTCGTAATTACCACGTGAACGACAGACTTTCAAGTCTTGTGTGGCAATTTCCGATTCCGATGGCAACGTTGCATGTATCATCCATTAAGTTCCGAGAATGTATTAATAATATTCCTTATGAAACGTCTGGGTTAACCCGCTACCTGACCGATGTATGACGTCAATTTGTAACGATATTACGTACGTGGCATTATTATATAACATTCAAGTGATGTACTGTCATTATATATCTTTCGTCCGTTTCAGATTTTGATAATTCGAGCAAATTAGCACGACTGAAAATTCAGCAAGAAGAGTTGAAATACACCGGCTTTTCTTGTTAACAAGCGCCTTATTTATGTAAATTGAAAGCCGCTCATTATAATGGACTTTTTTCCTAGTATTTTGCCATAACCTATAATGTAATTAGCAATCCTTGACTGTATTAATTTTTGAGTTTTCGAGTCAAATTTTATTCAAGATAATTAATTTTTAGCGTTTGCCTGTCAAGGTTTTATAAACATTAGTAATAATGATGGGCTTTTGTCTACTATATACAGATTGTTATGACTACAAACAAGACCGTTGCTAAAAAAAGTTTGGTTTAATCTGTATTGACCAAAGCAACTATTACTATAATAGTTTTGACCTTGTGACACATATTCCTATAATTTTCTGTATAGTTCGACAAACAGTGTATATGAAGAAAGTAAATACAATGTTTATTAAAAAGAAAACGTTTACGCTTAGTTACAAGAAAATATGCGCCGGCCAACTTCAACACAATGACGTTGAATAATTTGAGATTAGCGGAGTTCGCAACGGCCATGCTACATATTGAACAATTTATTTATCAAATTTTGCACGTGACACTTAAATACATTACGCTATATAAACAATCTTTAACGCGTCTCCGCTGATAGACAATTTACTTTGCAGAATTGTTTTGTATATACACCCTTACAAGATAAACATGAGACCACCCTACACAAACACTAGACAAAGCAAATACAGAGAAAGAAATAACGATTTGATTCATCCAATGCTACCTAATAAGAGTAACACAAGATTAGAGAGACAGCCAGAAATTATCAATACTAATTATCCACCACCGCAAATTAGTCGAATATCGAATAGTCAAACGAGACTATATCAGCGAGCTTGTGAAAATAAATCCTCACTCGTAGACGACCAAAGAGAACCATGTAAATATAAAACAGTATACCATTTAGAAACGTATTGCACATTTAATTTAGTGAACTGAATCGCTAATCAGTTGCTCTAACTTTTCTAGTTAACATTCAATCCACCAACGCACTTTTTGCTAATAACCAGCATGCTGATATGCCAATCGTAAACTCATCAATCAACAAAAACTATCCGATAAATACAACTTGTGCAGAAGACCAACAGGAGGAATACAGATGTAACGAAAGGGTAGAAGATGATATCTATAGCTATGGATTTGATCCTAAATATAAAAATAAACAAAACTACAATATAGTACATATACCTGAGGTACGGACAACAAGGATATCGTCTAACATTATGTTTACTTACTTATTGAATTCTGTATGGTGTTAAATAGCAAAGTCGAGGCATGCATACGAGATATCGTGACTATTCTTTATCCAATGGTAAATAAAGCAGTGAAAATTAAATAAATATGCGGTATTTAACAGAAATTTGCTAAATTATAGACGAATCAAATACTCAACGTCCCCAATTAACATGGCCAACGTCGAATTTTCAGCCTTCCCCAAAGACTTCCGCCGATATTCATTCTATTTCATTACGGCCTGTTTCTGAATTACGTATCCATAATACTTTATTTAGATTCTGTTAGATTGCGTGATGTAAATTTTTCCTTGACCGAACAATAATTTTTCCAAAGCTGACAGATTTCGAGGTTTATTTCCTTTTGGAGTATTCAACGCTGTCCAGTCACAATGCATGAATACGGTAAGTAACAACTTAGTATCTCTGCATGGCGAGTTCCGTTTGCTCAAAGAAACAAAATGCTTGTCCAACAAAAATTATATAAAACATAAACATTAATAGCGTCATACTTTGCATTATTGACTAATTTCTATATGTATAATTTTAGGCTCTTTATTCTGACGAGAATATGGTTGTCAGCGGTAACTATGGTATCGATTACTAGACCCGTCTATGTCACATAAAATTACTTACTGTGAGACTATTGTTTTGTCTAGCTCCGACCGGAGCAGGAAAAACAGTGATATTTGAGCTGGGCATGGTTCGTCTTCTCACAAATCACGCAGGAAACAGTGCAAAAATGGTATACATGGCCCCGACCAAAGTAAGAGTAACCATTGTTTAGAGTAATACCTTAAGACCCTGCGTGGAAGAAATAGTTCTAACGCTATACTATAGGCTTTATGTTCAGAGCGCGCCAAAGATTGGAAGACAAAGTTTAGACATATGGACGTGTCATGTAAGTATAGCATGGCAAATATTTAAGGTTCGTAAATGCTGTGACCATAGTCATCATAATTGCCTTTTTCGTGGTTGTGTTGTTAGGTGGTGAATTGACCGGTGATACTAATCAAGCACACATAAGTGAAGTTAAGAGGAGTGATATTATGTAAGTTTATATATATGATATCCGTCATGAGCATGTAATTAATTAAATTCTAACTAATAATTACAAACAACCTCAGTGTTACTACTCCCGAAAAGTGGGATTCGATGACTCGTAGATGGTGAGAACGTTAAAAATACACATCTAATAGTCTTTTTATTTGCCTTAACGTGAATTATAACCTTTTTATATGTACTAGGACCGATCATAAACATCTATTGACATTGATAAAATTGTTTATGGTAAGAGAAACCTTTTTTTAAATAAATAATTACAGAAAACATTTACCATAATTTATATATTAGATAGATGAAGTACACATGCTTAAGGAAAGACGTGGAGCAACACTCGAAGCAGTGGTAAGCAACGAATCAATAAATTATTTGAATTGTACGCATGTTAATGGCAATAACACACAATTGTATTTGTGTTTGTATTTATTATCCACTAATTATTCAGGTCAGTAGAATGAAAACCTTTAACGTAGCAATACGCATAATTGCTTTATCTGCTACTGTTCCAAACGTACACGACGTTGCCATGTGGATTGGTGTTGGAAATACACCAACGGTTCCACCACCAACGGAGGCTGCCGTACTGCACTTTGGCGAAGAGTACCGGCCTGTCAGACTTCTTAGACATGTACAAAGCTACCCAATGGGAGCGTGCAGCCCGTTTTTGTTTGATAAAAAGTTAGACTACAAGTTGAGTTCTTCCGACAAAAACCTTTTTGTACTGTATTTGCTAGTGTACTAATCGCGTACCTTTGTTAAGGTTGTTTGAAGTAATTCAGACATACTCGTGTAATAAGCCAACACTCGTTGTAAGTATTCGTCAGTGTCAAAAGTATATACGTACCTATTCATTGCTATATTGCGTGATAAATACACTTAGTTCTGCGCTACGAGAAAATCCACCGAGTCAGCGTGTCTGATACTATTACAGCAATTGAAAGAATTTGAAAAAAGCGGGAAAAAGCTTAGATGGGCCAAATCATCAAAGTAGCTATACGTTTAGTCTCTTTGTGCGTTAAAATTACTGTAGTAATAAAGCTGTGTTTCAGAAAAAAGACGACAGAAACACGAGATAAAAAATTACAGGGTAAGCTAACGGGAATGTTAACGTTCAAAACGTGCTTATTACTATAAAGTGTCACTACATATTTTTTTTGTAGAAATGAGCTACTACGGAATCGCATTTCATCATGCAGGGTTGGACTTACAAGATAGAAGAAACGTGGAAACCATGTTTTTGAATGGATCTATTCGCGTAGTATGTAAGTATGTATGTGTGGACGGTCACTATGTATTCATCATGTACAAACGTTTGTTACCCCTATTGTTTCAGGCACCACATCCACCCTGGCTGTTGGAGTAAGTATAAAATTCAACCAATTCTATGCGTCTGCGTATACTTTTGTTACATTCTTATCGTATTTGTATAACTAACTATAAAATTTAGGTCAACTTACCGGCTCATTTAGTAGTCATTAAATCTACTCTCGGATATACAAACCAACAATATGCAGAGTATTCCGATTTAGAAATAATGCAAATGCTCGGGCGCGCGGTATGGGTACACGAGAAAACGATGTTCGCAATGGATACTTTTATTAATATAGTTATATGCAAATCCATAGGGAAGACCACAATTCGATGACAGTGGCGTTGGTGAGGGAGCTTTCAGTAATATATACAATTGTGATAAAGAAAAATAGTAGTGTGATTAACAAGCCCATATTATTAGCTGTGATACTAACAAGTAATGAGATGCATCGCAAGTATGAAGAGCTGGTTTCCGGAAGCGAAATATTAGAGAGCAGGTAACAAATATAATAATATGTGTCAATATATGAAAAATTAACGCTATACGGCTGACACGTATAAATTGACTATTTTTACAGTTTACATAAGAATTTGACAGAACATTTAAATGCTGAAATTTGTCTTGGAGCAATTGATACTGTTACAAGAGCAATGAATTGGTACACATACTGCAATTTAGTTACACATTTTGATTCTGTAATCCCCAAAGTTAGTAATATTTATTTGACTGAATAAATTTGTTTAGGCTTCGATCCACGTTTCTGTACGTGCGAATAAAGTCAAACCCCAAATTTTACAAGCTTGATGGATCAACCACTTCTGATTCGTCAAACTGTGAAAGACAACTCGAAGGTGGGTAATATATTTGGCAATTTGAATAGCATGGTGTACCGTTCTCGCTATTCGTTTAATTGACGCATCATACTGATCGAAATAACTGGTAGACATATGCATGCAAGATTTAAATCTGCTGGACAGTTCGAATCTCATTACAATGGACGCTGAAAAATTATCTCCAACCGGTAGGAAAAGTTAGTTTGGGTCAACTGGCAATTAATAGACTTGAAAACTACGCGTTTTGTTTGTTTTGGCGATAACGATACGTTTGATTATAAACCTAAATTGCCTACTTGGTTATTAGAATTTGGACAAGCAATGGCCAAGTACTATCTTAAATACAAGACAATGGTCGATATTGTCAATATGCAAAGCAGAACAAGTATGAGGGATCTAGTAAGTCAAGTTTTGTTGTGCCGTCAGGTTGAACTGTATTCAATATTAAGATAATCACAATATTGCAGGTTGAATTGGTTTCAAAAGCGGACGAATTCTCAGAAATAAGGTTTCACATGGGTGATAAACAGGTATTTAAAAATCCATACGCGCTTGTGTGATAATCAAATATGCAATAATTAAATTTTATACGTTTTTAGGTGCTAAACTCATTGAATAAGAATCCAAATATCAGATTTCCCATCCGAGGAAAAATTACAAAAATTGATCAAAAAATTAATATAATTCTGCAGGTATACGACGTTTTTAGTAGTGTTTATGTCTACGCGCGCTAGTGTACATTGTGAATGTTAACTTTTAATTTCTTAGTGTGTATTAGGAAATATAGCCTTTACAGACTCAAAGACTGCTTTTCAAATGAATCTAGAAGTATCGATCATATTGCAACATTGTCATCGTATTGTCAAATGTATTTATAACAAGTCTTATTTGCGTTGGAAAACGGATTTATGAAACTGGTTTTATTATAATTTTGCTGCGGTTGCTTTGTTGATTACTAATATAATATGTGTAGGTATTATCGACTGCGTATGTTATAAGAAGGATGCATTCACATTAAGAAATGCAATTGACTTGTAAGTAAATAACTTTCTGTAATTTATGCCTTTGAAGCATTTATTAACGTTTGTTCAGTTCAAGAAGTTTAAAAATCAAGACATGGGAAAATTCATCGATGCTTCTTCGTCAGCTTGATGGAATAGGTAATGCAACAGCGTGCATTTTATTATTAATGATGAGATCACTCACTATAAAATTTTTTGCAGGTTTGACGTATGCGAAGACTTTATCAACCTCAGGCATTTTAACGTTTGATCAGCTAGAAAACTGTGAAGCTAGTAGAATTGAAATGGTGAGACGGATGGTGAGTTTGTAAGTCTGTAAGAAAAATACTCAACGCGTCAAGTTTAAATTTGTAGCTACTAAATCGCAATCCACCTTTCGGAACACAGGTGACTAATGTTCATAAACAAGTAAATTAAATGTCTATTGCTACCATTTGTTAACTAACGTGTTGGCAAATTAGATAATTGACCAAGTAAAGACACTTCCCAAATTTAAATTGTCTTTGAATCAGGTAATTATTAATACCAGGCATAACGTAACGTATAGTAGGGATACTGCTTAAAATTTAATTCAATCCTACAGTATCAAGACATGAGCACTCCAACTTCAATCGAGATATACGTCAATGCATCGGTTACAAATAAGAAGCTGAAAACCAAGAAAAATGAAATGCACTCAATGGCAATGTTCCTCGCGTACAATTCGGACGATATTATATGTGATATCAGACGACTAACGTAAGTAGACTAACAGCGCAAATAATCAGATATTGTAAGAGTGACTAACCACGCGTAATAGTCTTTGTCAAATCCAAGATGAAGTCAGATTCCAATTTAAAGTAGAGTTGAAAAAACATAAACAGATGATTACATGTGTCCTTATGTCGGAGGATTACCGTAAGTAGTCCAACGTCAGGAACATGTATACGTTTTTTTTAGTGTCGTTGGCTCCTTTGAATTTAAAATCTTTGTTTATCTGTATAGTTGGTTTGGACATACAGCAGACCGTCAAGCCATCTGTAGACGCAAAATACTTTTTAGATCAGTGTAATGAATCTGAATTAAATATAACGAATGAAAACGAAAAAACTGCAGAGACAGAGGCGCGAAATTTGTTTTTTAATAGTGTTTTTTGTCGCATCATTATTATTATTTCCTAAATGATATTTACGTTAAATAGGGTGTCAATTGTGACGACAATTTTTATGACTGGCCATCCGACCTGGAGGATGAAGACATTCCGCGTGAGTACTTAATATTGTCAGAACTTCAATGTCTGTAGGATATAACTATAAATGTATTGCCTTTCATTAGCTCTTCCGCCACCAATTGAACTACATTTAGATAACGACGAGCAGCAGGAACAAGACGAATCAAAGTTAACTTGCAGTCGGGCTTCATCTCCCAATCAGCCCGTGTCTAACCAAATGTCACCTCACCAAGATATGACAATTGATTACACTGATTCAGATGTGGATGATATAGAGCTCTTGCCTAACGGACGTATCAAATGCAATCACATGTGCAAAGACAAGAAAAGGTACCGTGAATAATATTCGATATTGCAATTACAATGGTATTATTTTGCTTATTAATTTACTAATAATCCGCAGATGTGCTCACGAATGTTGTAAGATTGGATGCAGACACAAACCAAAAAAACGCAGACACAAACCACTTAACGATCAATGTTCGGCAGACGAGGGTATTCAACTGAATAAAAAGTCACGAAGTGATGGATTGGATACTGTAATTGACATGTACGTAGCAGACGCAGATAAACATGATGGAACGCCCACAACAAAAAGTAAAGATATAAAAACACGGATAAATCGACAATTAAATACCACAAATAGTCAGAACGAAACAAACACAGAAAAAGTCTTACATTTTCGCACAGAGCTAGACCAAATGTACGATTCGGCAACGAACCATGAGATGGATAATATATGCAAGAATGACGCTCGACTTGAAACAGATAACATGCAGATAGACGTAAAAGCAAAAGGGCAGAATATTGACACTACTAATACGAACGAAAGTATAGATATTGATGACGTATATTTAAAAGCAGATGTAACAGAGAGTGTTGCTTTCGATGGTTACGAGAATTTATTAGCGGTCGACTTGGATAATGACGAACTTTTTGGTTTAGACACTGACATGAATTCAGACTTTAGTAAGGAAATTGAGTACAACGTAAACGAAGCCATGGGTGATACATATTGTAACGTTGTAAGCCATTTGAAGAACAATCAAGAAAGCAACATAGGAAATGGCTCGGAGAGCAATGCCGAGCGTCTTGAAGAAAAAGGGGAAAAGTCGGACGGTCAACGCGATGATGGGTTCTTGCTATGGTTGAAAACATGTACTGTGACAGTGAGCAGTGATGGAGACTATGCAGGAGGTAAAGGCATTAGATATTCAAACGTATTGCTGTTAAACTATTTAATGCTGATTATTTGTAATTTGCATGATAGGGGGTTCCACGACCGAGGAAAATAATGCCACTCAAATAGAGATCCACAATAAGAGAAAAGATGAGAGAGAAAGAAACGAAAATAGTGGTGATAAGATAGAAGCCAAATGCATATCGAAAAATCCATTCGATGATGCCCTTGCTATATTCGATCACGTGTTTAAAGATATTATGAAATAATGGGGAACGTATAAAATATTCTACCGGCTAGACAGTAACTGATTACAGGGATTATGTAAACCGGAACTTAACAACCAATATATTTACTTGGTGTTACAAACGATCGGATGTTGTAACCAAAACTTAATGTCAGGCAACATACGCGTGTTACGCAAAATAGACTCGATTTTATTATAGTATTAACCCATATTTTGACATTTTTCTAACATAATATTGTTCATCCGCCAGTCACAAATTTCAACGTAATTACAGTTTATCCGTAAACGGATAGGCCCCCAAAAGGTAGTAGTACACCAATGTTAGATATAAAGAGACCTATCACCCAAAGTTTCCGTCTCCTAGTCTATACGACTCGCCCTGCAGCAATTCAGCCATTATTATACAAACAAAACAAAGATACTAAACTCGTTATATTGATTATTTTTATTTTCATTATTGCTCTGCTTTGTAAATACTTGTATAAAACATATATTCTGTTGGAAACCCCATAAAAATGCTCAAACATGTATTCTCTAATCCATCGACTCTGAAATTCATTGTAGAGGCAACAAAAGGTCTAATTCTTGCACTAGTCGTTTATTTCGTCCAGCAGCACTTTTTCAAGTCCAAGAATCAGAAACGTCTACCGCCAGGACCTGTCGGAATACCGATTTTGGGTAATCTTCTCCAAATTGGACTAGAACCATTCAAGACGTTCGACAAATGGGGTAAAAAATACGGCCCCATATTCACAGTGAAATTAGGCGCTAGAAACTGTCTCATTCTCAACTCTCGCGAGGTTATCAATGACATATACGTCAAACGAGGAAGCAACTTTTCTAATCGCTTACATATGTCATTGTTATCTGACATTTTTATGCATGGAGGAAGAGGCATTACAGTCACTCCATATGGTGAAAGATGGAAAAGAGATAGAAAAGTAGCACACAGCGCCTTGGGCCCAAAAGCAGTCAAGAATTATCAACCTGCTGTCATTCATGAGATTAGGGTAGCACTCAAAGAGTTGTACAAAAAGAGTAACAAGAATTTTGATGCCGCGCCTGTTATGAGGAGATTTACAATCTCTAGTGTTATGACGATACTTTATGGGAAAAAAATCAAGGGAATTGACGACCCATGGCTCATAGATACGCTCAACTTTGCCGAAGATATTGCCGAATTCTCCCAACCAACATCTCATATTGCCGACTTTTTGGTAAGCAAAAAATCAATACAGTAATTGAAGATTTTGTATGCTCTAATTTTTTTTTATCTTATACAATTTTCTCTATTTCATTATAAGCCATTCATGAAAATATTTGACTGCATCTACAATCCCGCTCTCAAAAAATGTTACAAACTATCGGCTACCATGGAAAGACTATTCGCTGGAACGTATCGAGAATTTCTCGAAGACTATCATGCGGGCAAACACATCGACCCATGCTTTGCTCTTGAAATTCAAGAAGACCTCAAAAAGGAAGAGAACAACCTTGATTTCGAGGATGTGTGGATAATTCTCGCCAACTTACTCGGTGGAGCTTTTCAGACAGGAGGAGATACACTTTTATGGATTCAAGGCTTGCTCACAAACAATCCGGATGTCCAAGCCAGACTCCATAAAGAGTTGGATGAAGTATGTGGAGACAATCCACCTACGTTTGAAGATCAACCCAATCTTCCTTATGTATCTGCTGTCATCAACGAGGGTTTGCGCATGCGGCCACCGAATCCCATGGGCATTCCTCATACTTCGATGGAAGACGATGAATATAATGGATATTTTATTCCCAAGGATACACCAACGTTTATGAACATGAAGGCCGTACATTTTGATCCTGTCAGGTATCCTGAACCCGAGAAATTTTACCCAGAGCGATGGTTGCCGAAAATAGCTAAAACCCATAGGCGCAACGACTCGGGAGCAGAAGTCGAACAGGGAATAGACCACATTGCATTCGGCGCTGGTCGTAGGTATTGTATTGGACAGTACATGGCCCAGGCTCTTCTCTATGCTGGTATTTCTAATATTTTGTGGGCATTTGAAATCAAGCCCATCATCGATGCCAACGGTAAACCTGTTCCTGTTGACATTGATAGAGGAATTGTGGGATTGGGCTATTCGCCTTATCCTTACGAAGTAAGATATATTCCGCGCAAAAATCTTGCCGAAATTCTCAAAGATTACTGAATATTAGGAATGTACAAAAAAATTATATATATATATATATATATATTTTAACAAATAAAATATGTCGATAAACTGATGCATGGATGTTGTGAGAATTTGTTTTATCAATTATCATTGTAAAATTGTGCACATTAATTTTTGCCATCTGACAAATATCAATTCAATGAATAATCTGTTAAGGTTTTTGTCCTACAAGCCCAGAGCCCAGCTCATTAAGATCCAGAAAGTAGCAGGTTTTTTACGCCCCAAATCATTTTTTGGCTAAACTTTTCATGCATGTATTCCGGGTACTAAAGCAGAACCCAATCATTTTCTTATTTATTATCGATTTTCTGGCTAGAACATGCAACCAGTTACCAATGACATGCTCGATTGGGGACGTAAAAAAAAAATGGATTTCAGGGGTTCAGAACGTTTTCTTGTCAACAACATGCAAGCAGCTGCTTTTTTTTTTTCTCTGCAAACCAAAAAAGGCATTTCTTGCCCCAGTAAAAAACGATGTCCTTATCGCTATAATCGATACTACGCCGAATAATGTCTTTGTAGATAGCATCGATCTTATAGACATGAAACAAGATATAATAATATTAATACAACGCGCAAGTAGCATTAATCCAGTGCCGTATCTATACTAAAATTAAAGGTAGTCTAGTTCAGAAAAGTAATACAAAAATTAAGAATAGAAAAATTACATACGTATAATCAATTGTGTATGTTGCGGCTATGAATTCTGTTTTTAAAGTTTTATCGCACCCGCCCCTTGCCCCTTATACTGATGCGGTAATGTCATACGACTTTGTATGACCTTTAACGTCGGACAGAGATAATCAAACTATCGCGTAAACTTAAATCCGCATTTAATAGAGTAACTATGGTAGCAACTGCGACAACAACAAACAACAGCAACAACAACAACAACAACAAAAAACAGCAGCAGCAGCAGCAGCAGCAGCAACAACAACAACAACTACTACTACTACTACTACTACAACTACAACAACAACAAACAACACAACCGCAGAAGAAATGGCACCAACCTTTAACAAGGCTGGCATTTATTGTACTGCATACAAACATTGCATTGATATGCATTACTGTGGAAAAATCATTACAGAAAATGTGACGAATTGGGTTACAGCAAACTTTAATTTGTTGACAATTTAACCGTTGTTGGAATGCAAGGCTTTCCCTTTAACTAATTGACGAATACGAGGCTTGGCTATTGGCTGTTCTAGATCAATGGCTTTTGTTACTATATGAATGCGCGTGATAATGATGATGATTGCCGACAGTTGCTGTGACTGATTGACATTGCTTTTAAAGTGTCTTACTATTAAAAGTAGTACCTAAAATTGTCTATGCATTGACCAAGTGCGAGCTTTTTGTCCCCAGAAGATAAAGATTGGCAAGTTGCACAATAATGCTGCGAAACTTTAGTAGAGCATACTGAAATATTGTATTTGTGATCGTACCAAATTTTGTCTTTTATGCATTTGTTCAAAGGCTTAATTAATGAACTGCTACCAGACAAGATCACTGTCAACGTAACGATTAAGTTGCATGTTGGATAAATTTTTAGTCAAAGACGAGTTTAAAAGGCTTCAAATACATAACAGAATTTAGAAGATACAAGCGCAAAAATATGCAAATCTCAATAATAAAAGAAATTAGTATCAGCACATTATTTGCTACCCTGTCTCTATTATAGAAAATCGATTCAATTCTATAGAAATCTTGAAAGCCTTTTTAATTACCTAGCTCTCAAAAAGCATGTTACGATAAATACTAATAACAAAAATGCGAGCGCATAATGAATAAAGAGGTTTAAATCTATCCAATGGTTCGTCAGCCGTTAATGTCTTGATCTGCTTTTCCGAAGCTATTGTGTCGATACGTTGCATTTTGCAGCGCCGGGTAAAATTGCATTATGCTGTCTACGCCATTTTGCCTCTACTGCATTAACCACCATGTCGTTTTGTTCGTCGCTATTATCTTTTAAATAGTTTAGTTATCTTGTCAGCGGGTTTGGTTAGCAGGGTGTGAGCTACGTTCTTGACTTTCTTGAATGGTTTTAAGACGGCGATCTTAGCTCTAATCTATTGCTGTAAACTAGTTCAAGATGGCGAAAAAAAAGGGCAGTCGCATGATTAAATTGTAAAAAAAGAAGTCCAAAGAGGAGGATCTTTTGCAATCTCTTTATTTGGATTGGGTCTTGTAAACAAAAGCTCTAATACCTGCAACAACCAACTACTTGGACAATTGGTTCTTCATGTCTCCAAGGCTTACTCTTGCCAACTTTTACCCTTTTCCTAAAATATCTGGCAACACAACATTGAATATCAATGACTTGGGTATTTATGTGTACAGTATAGCGTTTGTCAGTTGACATGACTAATCCACCAATAAAAAGTAGGCTGGAATCACGGGACTGCCTTTTTTGGTACTAAATAAAATCTTACCCATAGGATAAAGGAAATACTAACGTTATATTGAAGCTGTGGCCGCGATATGCATTCGAATAAAGAAACGCTAGTTATACGTAACAATGGCACTAGAAAAATCTATTGTCGCAAAGACAAGCAACAGTATATCTTCAAAGGATGAATCGAAAATCTATACGTATTAAATATGCATGTTATTGCATTCTCGGGTAAGTTATTTTGGACGTTCATGAGAAATCAAATGCTTGATCTTAACTTTTGCATGACGCATGTTGATATCGATATCTTTCCCTTACGTCGATTGGAGGTCTTGCTTTACTTAAGGTGGCGCGTAATCGTTAATGACGGACGCTGTATGGATATTAAATTACTCTTATTATTGGGTTTGTTTGTTGATTCAAAACTCATTCGCTGATGTATGAAGAGTAAGGCTATAGAAATGTCTGTTGGTCGCGTCAACAATAGTTACCCAAAAGTCTTTACGATAACAACGTAAACATAAACAATAATGATGGTAGCTTACTTTTATCCGATTGATGGTATTTATAAGCTCTTTTGCCATCTAAGATACTTAAGTTAAAAAACAGTAGATTAGAGAACCGAATAATAATATAGCACCAATATGTGTTCAAGACAAAAAAGCGAAGAATCTGCCATAGTATTACCCGTAAATATTACAGGCCAAGATCAATTAATATTGGTAGTGATTAATAAACACGGCACTAATATTAATGATTAGTAAAGAGCTTTTTACCTTCAAGTTTGCGTAAACACCAAGAAGAACATAATAAGATATTCGACTACCGACACTTTGATCTTTCCTATGTTCCTACCAATTTAATATATCGTAATGGTTTCAAATACCACCAAGCCTTAAAACAGAATAATGACTCGCACACTTGACTAAGAAGCCTTGTTTGGTTTTGTAATGGTAATGCAGTAATAAGTAGAGTTTGTCTACATAGTTTCGTGTATTGATGATAAACTATGCGGTACTTAAAGGTTTTAAGATTAATGTCAAACGCGTAGCATTTTATTATCCTTGTACTCAATCTTTTTATAACTTGCGGTAGAAGTCATATCTCACTTATGGACAGAGAATAGCAATGGACGATTGAGATACCATTATCAGTTATGATAAAAGCCTGTAAAAATGATTTTTGCAATGTATACTACCTTAAATATTAATTGTTATATACTTATATCTTCATCGACGAATTGGAATCTGTCGAAATATTACAACATTTGAAAATTGGTAACTTGCCTTGATCTGTCAAATCGACAAGCAGAGGCCAATGTCAAATTTAAGAGTTCGAAGAATTTGGCAAGGCGCCGATTGACTCGGTACAAGCGAAACGTAGCCATAATAACATCAATTACAGCGGCTTGATTAGCATAGACAGCATTTTTTGGTAGTCGTTTTGTCATCCTATCCTTCCACACAGTAAGTTGTGTGCTTCATTATCGAAGTATGATAACTCGGATTGTGTTGACTAATAGACTAACATAGGAGTTGCGTCTTTTCAAGTTATACAAAACTCGCTATTAATCTCTTAAACTGTAAAAAGTTTATATCACCACAGTACGCTTCAACTTGGTTTTATTTTACATGATACAGATACACTAAATAGAATTAACCAAGTAAAATTTGTTTGTCAGGTCATTAACAGGTTCCTTGATAGTTGCCTCACCAGTCTTGAGTCCAAGATGCTTGATAACGATAGTTTTCCGTTTCCACAGACTGAGAAATTGTCCAGAAACTTCATACTTCCACTTTTCAGTTCCACAGGCTATAATTGATGCTTTTTTGAGATGAGACGTCATATCGTGAAGCACCATGTCGTATGTAAATCCCAAAAAATCCAATTTCCAAATAATTTGGACTTTGTAATTATTCCAATTGTCGTCACAAAATCCAGTATTCCATTTTCCCATTAATACAGTCTTTCCGACTATTTCGGTAAACGTGACCATTCCATTCACTTTGCGTAAGTCGGTATTTACAAACATTGCTTCTGCAACGTCTCCAACTTTGCGTATAGCCGGACGAGCGTATAAAGGCGTCAACAAAACAAAAAGGAGAAAAAATGTCGTGAAGACATTCTGTTGTTTCATTTCAAAATTATGTGTTATAATTACAATGAAAACGATATTGTCTTTGCTATTACTCGGTAATTACGAGTGAGGTTTACGATATTAATATTGCGGACAATATCATAAGAACGAGCCCGTTGTGATGGAAACGATTCATTGTATATTAATATGTGTGTATATATACAAATTTTACAATTAGCGTCATGTGACTTAATTAAATTCCGATTTACGGCGGCAAGACATTGTTAGCTTTACCCGTGGTAACAATATAGGAATTTGTTTATTGTTTGATAGTAATAGGGGTTCTAACGTAAACAAAGATAGCGATATGTGCTCCATATATAGAAAAAGTAACTGTATTCAAGCTCCTTGACGAGTAATAATAAAGTTTGAGTGATACCGTGTCTTTAAGTTTATATCAACAAACATTACCAGCGAATGATTGGGCGAAGACATAATCATTCAAATCTTAAATTTGGTCTAACACATGCAGTGCTCCCGACTGATTATACATCCAATGTCATAATAATAATAATAATAATAATAATAATAATAATATCCAGGCTATGTAATTCACCGTTTCAAGGTTTTAGCAATCGCAAATCAGTTAACAAGAACCAAAACCTTTTCATATCGGATAAAGTCAATCATTACTAACTGTTCTATTACAATTTTTCTTGCAAGATATGCCAAATTAATACCCACTTACCTATTTTTGCATTAAAGAGAATATACTGTAGCTTATAGAGCTGCACATCCGTACTTTATCGAATATTTGGCATACGCAAATTATTTGCAAGCCTTTTCCGAAAAGACAAACAAAATACAAGTAGACTTATTAAATATTTACATGTTAAAAAGATCAATAACATGTAAACCTCGAAAAAACATTGTAAAACTTTGTCATACAAAAATTACAATACAATAATTATTATCAAAGCTATCTCTTCAGAAGAGGGTTATGAAAATCTCATATCAAAGTCTTTACACGCTCTTCACTAACAACCAAATTCACGCGTTTGTAATGTTTATCACATTTTAATAGGCCTTTTTTAAAAGCGAAAACTGCTAAAGTAATGATGCTGTACACACAAGCAGACACGAGAAGTCGGTCTCTTTATAAATTATTTTAACTTAACTCAACCAAATATCGGTCAATCTATTTATAGTGTAAATCTCTAACGAGGTCAATACATAAGTCTCGGCAAGATTGTTTCACGTCATGGATTGACTCTCCAAGATAAATTCTTTCAGAGTTATTCTGCGGTTACCCGTATTGGCGCGACGATTTATTCATTACAGATACTTTGGCACCTTATAAAGTGTGAGAGTTGATTTATTAAAGTTCAAGATACAGCACAACGTAGTCTACGTTACTATTATTAGCATGCCAAAACGTCCAGTATCGTTATAGTATTACTTAAGATAAAATCTACCGTATAATTCCGAAAATCAGTACCCCTAAGATTAGCGATCACTGTAGGATAAACAGTAATTGTTGGTGATTAACAGTAATTGTACTATTACTATTTATATTATTGTTTCTACTACAACCTTATTCTGTGACATGTACAATAAAGAAATCTTTCCAAGCCCCAAAAGCGTATTACAACATATCATGAAAGCGAATAGATGGAGAGAGATAACAGTTTACAGGCAGTAAGATCCTCCCCCTTCCGAAAATACTGGCGGGAGGTGTATTATAGAAGTCTCGCTCCTGCAACAAACTTGGGCTACTAGGGTAGTTTATCACTCTGTGAATAAAAGTTTTTCGCGATAAATTGTATTGTGTATCTCACTCCTGATGTCATAGTTTATACATGCTTTTTGCATGTGACCGTTTATAATACCCGTGATTTTTGTTACACGGAGATGCTATATTAACCCATCGTGTGTGCGATCATGACCAAGGATATTATCCCCCCCCAGCTTGAAAATGAAATTGAGGAAACCTTGGGAAAGGTCTTCTATGCTAACCTAGCAGAGCTGCGAAAGCGGCGGCAGAATGCTCTGCTAGAGTAGAGCGTAAGGGGACAAGTGGGAAGAAGACGTCAGTAAATGGGGGATACACTAATACTAAAAACTACCGCAGTACGTAAGCAAATTAAAGCCATTATTCCTACATTCGTTTTGGAAATCGTGTCTATCTCAGACACTTCCCAGCAAGAATCAGGTTATGCATGTAGTTCCGAAGAAGCGCGGCCTTGGAAGGTCAAGAAAGAAGTTAATACATGAACCGGTCGTTGTTGAAAGGCTTTGAGTTAATACATGAACCGGTCGTTGTTGAAAGGCTTTTGAATAACTCAGAGACATCCTTTCAATGAAATGCAAGCTGGAATACATAAATTCATGAAGAAGCGCGGCCCTGGAAGGCCAAGAAAGAAGTTAATACATGAACCGGTCGTTGTTGAAAGGCTTTTGAATAACTCAGAGACATCCTTTCAATGAAATGCAAGCTGGAATACATAAATTCATGAAGAAGCGCGGCCCTGGAAGGCCAAGAAAGAAGTTAATACATGAACCGGTCGTTGTTGAAAGGCTTTTGAATAACTCAGAGACATTCTTTCAACGAAACGCAAGCTGGAAGTTAACCACAAGTTTCTGCACGTTGCTTCTCTTGCTGCTGTTCAAAAATGATAGGCTTAGCGGTTCTTGGTCGTGCCGACGTTTTAGAGTTTTGATAATGACAGACTCGATAAGCTGTTGTTATTTCAGTGGGACATCTCTAGGACTGAAGATCAGCATGCTAACAACTACACAAAGACGGTTCTGAAGGATGTTTATATGAACAATGCCCAAGCATATTTCGTTGTAAAGGATGTTATCTGTGAGTTAGCTCCAAATGAACTCTGGGGTGGTATGCATAACAAAGCTGTAATCATGGAAACAATTGAGCAGTTTATTGGTCTTTCTGATTGCTCTTTCATGAAATTATGGACAAATTCATGACTCAAAGAAATTGAAGATACAGCAAGATATCAACCTCGACGACGACGAAGAAGAAGTAACAATTGTTGGGTGGTTTTGTGGGAGATTTTGAAAGTTTTACTTCTGTCCTATCTTTGCTTTAAATTCTATGATAAATAGTTTTCTTCAGTTTATTGATGTAGAAACAAGACAACTATATTCAGAGTTTATTTGGTGGATACTAGATCAACTTTTTTGGAGTTTGCTGAGAAGGACAGAGACAATATTTTTCAGGAACATGTAGAGGATGTATGAGTTCAACGTCATGCGACGATAACCATGGGATTTTGGAAAAACAGCGTCGCCATAATAATGTGACGTATTCCTCCTACGATAAAATCTAAGCCATAAACTCAAACCGCGGATAACAGTACATTAAATCGATGATGCCAATGTATATTCGATATTGTAAATAGATTATTTAATAGATAGTTATAGTTAGTGAAACAATAGAAGGGATAAGCAGCAGTAATTTCGCTACTAACATTATTATCAACTATAGTTTGGATTCCGTTCTTTGTATTATTACTTTATCATTCACATAATAAATAATATACTTATTGGACCTTAAAATGCCCTGGCCTCTCCAGTGATTTGATTGCTGTAAACGCAGGTTCCAAATCGCTGCGTAGATTCGATCTTGTCCATCGAATCTAGGAATTGGCTAATTACGATTGTTAAATATTCTATAATAAACGCATTTTATTTAGTGTACAATTATTCCCCGAACGTCTCTCGGACTATGGCGTCTCGCATCTCTCAAACTAACCTGAAACCCACTGTGAAGTGCTAAAAGCTAATCGTCGCCACCTGCAAATTCCGAGTGAAAAAAAAAGTTACAAATAAATGGAGTCAAAAAAACTAAGTAACATTAATCCCATCGATAGAGGGTAGAGTTATAACTTGCAGTGTGATTAACAATCGAGCATAAGATCGAACGTACGAATCGTGAGTATATAAAGGTCACTAACTGTATTAGCGATTTAAGCAGGGGGTAGAGGTTAGCCAAGCCTCGATTGAAAGAGCTAAATCCCAAGGCTAATTACTGAATGCTCTCTCGCAGTAGTTGGCTCGACATCAAGAAGGCATGTTGTGATGTGACCATTGCCAGATATAATCAGGCAGTTGCATAAGCACTTGATGATGAACATACCTTTATTCTTCCTTTATCACAGGCTCTTAGTGAGCACATACTGAACAGGCAATTGGGGAACTAGTTACTGCCAATTTTGCAATACTAACAGATTTCCAGAAATTTGGCTGTTTCTGGATTGAAGAGCTATTTGAAAACCTGCAGTCCATGCTGCTTGGTCTGAAAATGTACCGGTACATAAAGCAGCAACATTTGTTTGTCTCCTTTTGGAGTCTGACCGGAATCAGGAAGACATCAAGATTTGATTGAAGAGCTCTAATATGTTACGGCAAGCGGATCTGATGAATCAGATAAACAAGTCACATGTTAAATCTTTTACTTTCTCCGCAGTCAAGCAAACCCATGATCGACAATTTAGCCAGTAACGGCGTTTGCAACAGCACAATTAGCGCTTTTCCCGCAACGCTCGAAGATATATAAGTAGCTCATATTCCATCGCCAAATCTTCATGTTGTCCATGTTGTGAAAACATTAAAAGTTCAAATATTGTTGTGAAATAAAATAATACTACCGATCTTAGTAGTATCCTCCGCAATCCTTTATTATAAATATACATTTTTATTTCTATCGTCGAAATAATTGATTATTAGGCCGGACACTCCAATAAACGGCTCACTTGAGCTGTAACGGAATAGCATTGATTTGATTAAGCTAGTAAGCTGTCCGCTGATCAATTACATGAATAACGGAACGAGAGTTCATAATTAATTATCGATGTTTAATTAGTTTAGAAAGACAAGTGACGAATACCGACTAGTCGACAAACAAATCGAAGATAGCCCTGTTTAAATTTTAAAATAGTATTATTCCCCTTTGATTCTTTAATAGAATAATTGTTGTTATTATTCTATTAGAGGTACCCTTATTTGTATTCACGAGTGTTTGAAACTCGGATAGAGAGTGAAAAGCGCGCATTTAATTTAATTATAAAAACAGGTCACTTGAGGCTTAATTCAGTCTTAATTGCACAACTATCGTAGTAAGGGCGATAGTACGACACACCTACGCGAAAGATAAAATCGCTCTCCCAAAATAAAAACCCCCATTTATTTCCCGACCGTAACACACTAACCAATGTGAGCCCGATTATCAAAATTCGTTCTACGGAAGTACGAAGAAGTCCGTTTGGAATACTCATATATAAAATATCAAAGTAATTAAAAAAATAATAAGGGAATCACTGCTTAATTCTGATTAAACATTCTAATTCTCTTGATTTAAACGTAACAGGAAACACAATAATGGCATTGGATTCTGGAAAGAGTATGTCACACGAATTTACTAGAAGGTTTACAGCGTAAGTCCTAGCAGGCCTGCAAGGCCCTCTTTCCAAGCATTGGCCGCAGGGGTCTCAAATAAATGGACAGGTCCATACGGACATAAGAATCTCATAGTGTCCAATACACTGGAAAGAGTATGTCGCACGGATTTACTAGAAGGTTTACGACGTAAGTTCGCGAGGCCCTCTTTCCAGACATCGGCTGCAGGGGTCCACATAAATGAACAGGTCCACACAGACGTAGGGTATTGTATAATGCCCAGAAATCTGATCAAAAAAGAAACGATACTAAACTTTAGTATAAGTCGCTATCAACGTAAACAATGTATGTTGGAAGGTGCTTACCATTCTCGTTGTCTTTGAGTTCATTGATCAAGTCTACAATTGCCAAGGCCGAACCATCTGGCATTCCTCATTTTTCAATTTGCTTTCCGTCAGCTTAAAAAAAGCGCGACCGGTCGTCATTGTCGAGTCCCGAGTTTTCTGCTTGTAAAAACTCGACAAGGTCGCCTGTGTCATATTTTTTAATCTCTTCAGAGTCATTTCCACTTGCAGTGTAGGAAGAAGCAGTAGAAGCGGGTGTGGACAGGCTGTCATATTCATAGATTCTGTTTAGTCTTTTCGAAAAGCATACAAAATTCGCATGGTACACAAGAGCAGGAGAGATTTTTGACTTTTATATGTTTTACTATTAAAATTTCGTGTTACTATTACCCGTCATTTATTGGAGGGGCTGTTAATATACCCTCATAAAAAGGATATAGGTATGTTAAAAGAGGTAACAAAAATAAATAAGAAAAGCATGGTAAACATAATAATAATAACAGAACTTGAACAGAGAAATAAAGAATTATTAAGAACGGTTCTACTGAATACGAAACGGTTGCAAATGTGGTTCAAAAATGATTCCGAGAGAGAAGTTTGCTGAATTACGTGAGGCGTTTCAAGCTCTTTCTAGATCCGAACAAGATATATTTTTAATGGCCCAGCTGAAAACAATGAATGGTGGAGAAATAACTGCCAGCCAACGTCTGAAAAAGAAGACGCGTACTAATAAAAGAACTTTTTACTATTGGAATCGCAATACGCCGCTTTGTCAGAAAACGTATCACAATATGTTAAGGCATTGGTCGCACTCCTTCGAAAACGTCAGAAACCATCTAGCATAATACCACGTGTTCATTGTAACGTAAAAAGAATACTGCGATGGAAAATCAAAATAGCCATTGGTATAATCATTGCTATTGAAGTGAAGAATTTTCTTGAGAATTATGCTGAAATCCATGGACTACCAAGTCCTGGTAGAAACGTCAACTAAATTACTCAATCGCTTACACTTTTGCCAGCTGAAACGAGTTACAAATCGGTCTATCGTGATTTTATTGCGGGTTTCGAAAACGAAAGCACGATGAAATTGTTAAAATATGATGCGTTTCCGCAAGTTATGGCACCAATTAACTCCTTATATTCAAATTATGAGACCAAGAACGGATTTATGTGATATTTGTCAGCATTTTCGGAACGGCTTTCAGTATAATACTCGTAAGAAAGAAGAAGCAAAAATTTTACTGAAAAAATTCAAAGAACATCTAGTTAAGGCTAAATTAGAGAGAAACTATACAACAAAAATACGAAATTAGCAGAACAGAGGAAATTAGTAAATGAACATTTTATGACGATAAGTAAAGCTAATTATTGTAGAGTTGACGCTACTGCTCATTATAGTTACGATTGAGCGCAAAACGTTCACGTTCCCCATTCTGATCAACAGGTGTAAGTAAGATTTATTATCTCAGTCCGCTTAAAGGGCATTTACTGTATTTGGTATTCAAGATGAAGCAGTGCCGAACAAATTAATTATGTTCTCGATGAAGACGAAATTATCGACAAAGGCCCTAATGGTACGCTTTTAATTTTTAAAGCTTAAAACAGTTATATATACACTTCATATACCCTCATAAAATAATAAGTATATAGATAGAATAAATAAAATAGACAAAAAATTATGGTAGACAATTTAGAAACTCAAAAACAAAAAAAAAAAAACGAGGATTATTAAACGAAATAGAGTTATTAGAAAAAAAAACAATTAGAAGATGAATTTAAGTTGAGAACTTGAAATGCGGTTGACAATGCTGTAAAAGAATATATGGTTGAAACTTTAACATCCTTACAAAGATTTAAAATGGTTGAGTAAGTTATCCAGAAAGAAATTTAACTGAATTTGGAAAAGTTGTTTTCAGTGATGAATTCACTCCTGAGAAAAGTTTTGCTAATGAAGTATAATATTATGAGCTTTTTTTTTTAAAAAAAATAAGGAATTGGAAAAAAAGAATACTGTTTTAGAAAAAAAAGTTGACGAGTTAGAGAAAGCAATCAAGAATATGAAGAAAAAGTTCAACAGGTAGAAGCTAAACAAGAAGAATTGGAAATGAGAGTAAAAGAGTTGGAAGAAAGAATAGAAATAGAGCAGGAAGAGGCCATCAAAGCATTAGAGAAATCTGATGAATGGTACAAGAGAAAAGTTTTTGAGTTAGGCATGAAAGAATATTCGAGTAATCAAATTGTGATTAAAAATCCAAGAATTAGAATTTAAGGATGAACAAATAATTAAACTATCTAAACCAACCAAACTTCAAAAAGTTTAAAAGTCAGCAAAAGCAAAAGCTGTATTTCGATACAGTAACAGCGAAACTTTAGAAGCATCGAAACCTATTCAGATACGAGTTGCCCAGAAAAACGTGCAGATTGTGAAAATTATACCTTCAATTTTGGGCAAACTTGACCCTTAATTTTGTAATGCATTTTGATAATATTATTATGTTATTTGCTTGTCCATTAAGAAAACACATTGTTAAAGAATGTGTGGCTGAAGAATAATGTGCATTTGAAAAGTTTTTTTTTAAAACCGTTTTTATGTAAATTTCCAAATTTTTGCAAACTCTGCTTATTGTGAATCTAAAGAGTCAACAATCTCAATAAACAAATGAGCCATTGAAGAGTAATGGCCATTTAAAGACAGACACTTGCATCATACATCCTCTCCCACTTTCCTCTCCCCACACTCCTCCCTCATTCTTGAACTCTTACATTGCTTCTACTTTTTTGTCTATCTTCAGAGCTTTATTTCTTACTTATTACTATAGTTCACATTCATATTATACAAGTATCCTTTTCACCAAGAGTGTTTCTTCGTCGTGCTGATTTCTCTAAGTAATAGTGAGTCTGATATATGACTCCAGAGTTAGTGGAATAAACATTTTTTAATAAGAATATCTGCAATAAATACTAGCTAACAGTTTGCAATGTTAAATGTATGGGTATTATACCGTTTATTAACTTTCAAGCTTTAAAATGTTATATGATATGTTTTGCTCGTTGTAAAATTAGAGTAATTTAAATAATTGTTAACTCTTGATCTATTAGCCTTGCGACATGCAAATATAGCAATTGTAAGTCCAACCAATCTTTTATCTCATCTTTCTATCGCATTATGATTGTGAGAAAGTCATTTCACAGTGCTGACGTCCGATGTGTCATTATTACTGTGTCGCGTGTCCGGGCCATACCACATGACTACTGCGAAGTAAAATAGTCATGCGCATTACATTTGATGAACAAGCTTTTACATGATACAAATTAATCAATGAAATATTGACACCAAATTACTAATTTCTTTTCCATTGATTTGAAGAACAGTTTGACTTGTCACAACATAAGAATTTTATTCTTAACCTAGCGCGTACTCTCTTACTTTGGATATTAAAACCTGCCACACCTCAATCAGTTTCAAGCAGATAACTCTTTCTGAAACCCAAATAGAAAAAGATATTTAGCCTCCTTATTATTATAGTACATTCAGTTTCAATGCTTTTCATTCCATCTCTGTCATACTCAATCAAAAGCATCGGTATTTCCCCTGTGTAGGTGGCAAGTTGTTGATTTTATCAGTGTACTCAATAGCATATATTATGAAATGCTTGATATACTTTTGAATCACTTGGGACATTTCATTTATAATTAGGCGTTGCAATATGTCAGCTTTTCTGTTTGGATAACATACGTTGAACGTTAATGCCTTTCTGCATTTCACGTGCTGCACATTAATAACCTATGATAAACGGGGACAATTTGAATATGAAGTACTATTACGAGCTATACAAAGCGTTAACACCCGGTAGCATAAGCATTGGCTATTCACATTTATTATGGGATATATTTATATATTAAAACTCTGGTTTTCAATACAAAATGCAATTAGGGATGCTACGCTAATTTCCCCAGCTACACTAGTATGTAGATATGATATTCGTTTTGGCAATATTCATCGGATAGGAAGATAAAGATAATCTGTGGGAAATGAAGAGCTTTTTGAATATGCCGTAAAACGACAACAATAAACTTTAATTGGCTATAAATAGCAGCAACGTCATTCTCAGCGAGACATGAATATTGGTCAAACTGAGCGGTTTTGGGTAACTACTAACACATTTTTCGGCGAAAGACATGTTTGCACAATCTTAGTTGAAGCCTTCGGGGAAATTCTCCCTGTGGTTTTGGCCAAGCCAAATAAGTTGACGTCACATGTTCTCTTTTCTTTGTTCCCGGAACTGCTGACCCAACCCATTGTGTCTTAAGAGAGAATAAGGGTTGTTTTTTGTCGGAATTTGGCAGATATTTTTTCCTTTATTCGGATTACAAGCAAAATCTTTGTGAAATTTCTTCAAACGCTTCTACATTCTCCTATTAATATTCCTATTCTTCGTATTTGTTAATGCTGGGGGATTTGATTGTGCTGAATGAATTGCATCATACTAAATATATTAACCAATGATTTCACGTAGAACTGTTTCCATTGTTTGTGTCTACTGTATCAGATTTTATTATTACATTCAAAAAAGCCTCGCAGATTTCCATGTGTGTAATCCAAATACTGTATGTATTACCGAAATGTATTAGATCAGACAGGTCAGCTAAGCTGCGTTAAAGTCATCAAATGAGGCTGGTTGTTGATGTAAACATCGGATAATCATCGCCATCTAGTAATTGGTGTGTGTAGATTTCTATTTGTGTGTCTGGGTGGTGTCTGGGTGTGTGTCTGGTGTGTGTGACTGACACTGATCGATACCTTCGGTGTCCGTTGTCCGTTATCCGTTGTGTAGTGTCTCGTGGTCAACGTCTACTATGATTACTATGATTGTACTGCACGCGTCGAATGACGTATTGTGTTTGTGACAATAGTAACAATTTACGATACAGAGGATGTGTAGGGGTAGAAAAATGAAGTAATATCGGTACGGACAATAAGCGACGGTGCAGGTTACGATTAGGTAATGTCGGTGGCGTCAGGGGAAAGTAAAAATTGCCTTATTACCTTACAGCTTTGTGATGATACCAAATATGCTCAACAAACAGGAGAATGCTAAATGTATATAATTATACTATAACACAAAATTAGTAATAATTTTACTTGCCTATTTATTCTGTCGATTCTTTTTGTTCTTTTTATGCATTTACCCTACTGTATTTATTTATACAATCTTCATCTATCTGTCCATAAACAATGTCAAGTGCTTGTGTTGATTGATTATGTTATCTCTTTCCCTATTTCCCTAACAACCTCCCCCCCCCCCGCCTTACCTATAACATAATTCGCCTCACGCTTTGTTATTTTTTTTTTTATTATCATATTATTTCGTATATATACTCCACTCTCAGACGCCACTCCTTTCTTTTTCTCCCCCCCGACTGTATAAACGACCCCCCCACTTGTACAAATATACATACACACTATGACACGATCTATTATATGCTGTATATTATTACTGCTTATTCTATTACTGCTGAGCGGAAAAGACGAGCGAATACCGGCAACTTTACTCAAAGATGTACTCGATAGAACAATAGCGGAAAAGCTATCACTGGCAGATCAGATTTATGAAGAGGACCGGACGAGCGTAAGTGTACAATACGAAAGGACAAGGGTTCGATATCTTGGTCCGAGAATTAGTAATATCCGTCTTTACAAACATAGACTATTGAAATGGCAGAGTATCTCTTGTCATAATTACCTCCACTTGTTATTGCCAATATTGATATGATGTTTCCGTTTCCCGTTTGCTATATCACTAATTACAAACAATCTATCTATCCAACGATCAAACAATACATCACGTGGTCAATATCCATCAACAGCCTCTTCGCGATCACATTCTATCCACAAATGTCATGTCGTCCCCATCATCTCAATTCTACCCAAACATTACTGGAATTTTCAAAGGACAATCAATAACTTATAATAACAGCACGCTTCTGATCGAGTCGGCATCTTCTTCATCACCGTCATCACCTCCTTCTTCTTCACCATCATCACCATCATCATCTATATCTTCATCGGCCTCTTCCTTTACTTTGAATGTGAGATCTGCGATCACGAGAGATGTCGATATTAATTATGTCGAGGGAAATCTGAGAATGAAGAACGGAAACAGTGAAGTATATTTAAGTCTATATGGAGTCCATTTTGTTAATAATGGAAGTGTATATATGAGCGCGGCCGAGAGGTAATAAATTACATGGACTCGATAGATCATCCACGATATATTCGGCAGAGAACACATTAATTCATTGTTCTTTGTCTTTTGTAGGAATCAGCTATGGTTTGAAGATTTACTACGAAGTATGCCATCCGAGGCGTTGTTTGACAAAATAAAACCTCTCTTACTTTCAATAATTAATGACAAGATCAGAAAGTATGATGAAATGTTTATTCGTGGGGAAGAAACGATAGTCGAACATGGTGAGATATTACCGGAACCTTTGCACACTGATCGATGCTATTGATACCTTGCAACTACAACTTTATTATGCTTACATTCATATTAATATATTTCTCTTATCTTACCAACCAGTCCCTGTACACACAACTCCAGCATCTTGCCGTTATGTTCTCTTACTTCAACTGCATCCACTTTCCCCATCCACATCTGCATCACCCGATCTTTCTCAAACTATATTTCACAAAACTCTTACTTCTTTCCGCATCCCACTACTCTCTGCCTCTCTGTTCACCTACTCTCCCGACTGCAAAGTGAGTTCAATTAGTCAAGATGTAAAGGGAATACAGCTGATAAAGTATTATTCGAAAGCAGTCAGTTATGCTATCATGGCCTGTTTAGTGACTGTCGTGCAGATTTACTTGGTTCGAATGCAGATCAAATACAATTCTTCGGCACTGGTAAGTAGTATGGCATGAGGAATTAGGGGGGTAATTAATGATTGAGTGTATATACAACAGGAAAATAGTGAATCATTTAGTAATCCAAGGTAGTGTCCGTTTATTTGTTAATTCCCTCATACCTCAACATTAGGGTCTTTCGCGAGTCTCTTATTGGACGATAGCAGTTCAAGCAATAATGGACGGGTATCTCTGTCTTCTTCACATAACCACAGGGATTCTGATAGGTAGTTATATAATTTTGATTATAACTCGTTCTTTTAAACTCCTGAATAACAGTTCTCACACTCGATTTATCGACCCCCAAAATCAGAGTCTGTCTTCTTTCCTTTGGCATCGGCGGCATTCTTTTCCTTTGTGCTCGTTTCCTTATTCGAGATGCGATATCTACTGGCAATTTGGCATGTGCAAAAGTCAGAAGTCGTTTCCGTCAGAAGTGGCGTTGGAATCGTTACACAACGTGGGACCACGAGCGCACCACACGGAAGAATGCATTCGTCCCCGTTACCCTCCGCAAATGACTCTAAAAGTGAACTAGGCGGTATCTGTGCTAAATGTTATGTCGGTCTACTCGTTGGAGTGTTCATAATTATACGGTCTGCCTCGTTCTCGGATCTTTTCCAAGACATTGTTGCAATCTTATTAGTCTTGTCGATGTTCAGTTTCTGGGTCCCTCAAATATTGAGGAACGTTATTCGCAACACGAGAAGAGGGTTGAATCTATATTATGTTGTTGGAATGTCGTTTACTCGTCTCGTTATGCCGCTTTGTAAGTATATGGATATTATTTGAGGGAAACTTGCGTATTTATAGAACCAGCAATATAGTGTAGTTGATCCATGATAGCATTTTAACCCAACCACAAACTCTTTTTAACCAGATTTCCTTGCGTGTCCGAAGAATGTTCTCGGGAGAGAGCCTTCGCCATTGATTTATGTGATTATGTCGTATGTAGGAGCACAAGTGCTTATTCTTATTGCTCAAGAGTGCTTCGGGCCGAGATTTTTTGTTCCTGCTAAAGTAAGTCATATTTGTCAAATCGATGATATTAAGCCGCTAGATACCAAATTCAACGTCGAAACTAACTTATCTGATTCTATGGTTTCGATTTGTTACAAAGTATCTTCCTCCAACGCACGATTATCATCCAATCCTGGATGAGATGTTAGCTGCAGGCCGTTGCTGTGCCATCTGCATGACTGCAGTCGATGTTTCCGAAAGAAAGTCAAGAAATGAGCATATGGTGACGCCGTGCTGTCATGTGTTCCATACTGGGTGTTTGGAACAGGTAAGCTTTACTTTGATACTTATGAATTCGTTGGTTGCTGCTATGAGCGAACTTTTGTCTTACATATTTTTTATTGAATTATAGTGGATGAAAATTAAACTCGAGTGTCCGATATGTCGTTCTCATCTGCCAATTTCTTAACATCTGTATTATTTTCTGAATACATTGATTCTTCCTTTTTGTAAATTTTTCGCAAGCGAAGAAATAATGTATCATATCACCGATGAGGATATGAAAAATTCTCCTTGTATGTACAGTTGTATTCATTTGGAAGAAACAAACAAACCAACCAAACCTTTTTTTTTATATTCTGTATATGTTTTATTTTTTTTTCTTTTGCGTCTGTTAAAAGGCACGTCTTGTACAAATATTTGAACTGGAATATGAGAATGGCATTCGATGTATATGATCAAAATCACGCGTTGTCATCCAATAAAAATAAAAATGGAATTCAACGTTCTGAACGTCTGCGCATTTATGAATATAGAGAGAAAGGCTTAAAAAAACCTACTGATGGGAGATGTTCAGCCACAAACAAAAAGTGATAACATTAATCAATATACATATCTAAATTCAATATCAAGTACGTTTATAGACATTATTAAAGTACCATAGTAATAGTGACACATAATCAAAACACCAATAAAAATCGATGCGGTCCATCAGTAAGACTCAAATGCACTCCCTAGGGACCTTGACATAAGCATGCATTTGTGAAAGGGGAGTGGTGACTTTTACGTTGGACAAGAAATTCATTATATATTATTATTATACCCGTTATTCATGCAACAAAACCGGAAAAGTGATCTTTTTGTGGCTTGCGTCGATGCTTTGATTGAATGCAATGGGACCAAGTACGCATCTATTAAAAATGTCAATAGTCTAAAAATCGTATTAGTGTCAGGGACAGCTTATATTTCATAAAGTGAACTGATCGATTTTATTCCAAGCGTTTTGCTGGAGCAGTAGATAATGCTTAACTCATCATCACGGGATTTTCTCTTATTGAAAAGATCAAGCCTCAAATATGGTGTCGATATGAATTGCTCTTTTGATTTTCTCGTTAGCAGATGATACGATTTACCATGTTTTTGGGCCAATACTCTTTTGATTCATCATTCACAGACTGCAAATTCGCATCTTCAGAATAATAAGTTTTATTAATAACACCATCGCCTTCTAATATACTATAAGGGAAGTTACCAAGTCCCAATTTCCACTAAATTGCAAGACGATCCATTTGAGACATGTGACGCAAAACTCATCAACATATTTTTGCGTCTTGGATGATAGTGTCGATTTCTTCATTGCTGCCAGTCCAACTGAACATTACACTTGTTGATTTGTATAAATATACTGTTTACTATTATTTTCTAGCTCCTAATTCTACTTTATGTTGTATTGTCATCATGTCCACTTGTATTCATTTGTTCAGTCAATTATCCAATTATATTGCACATTATATGAAACTCTACCAATGCCTAATGCGGGCATAATTAAATATAAAATAGCCATTTTTTGTGTAAAATTAAACAATTGTAGTGTAAGTCGCTGATAAGCCTTGAAAATCACCTTTATACTTTAATGTTACAGTCCAGTAAGAGTAAGTAAGATATTTTCATTAAAGTAATGCAAGCCAGGAACACGTTATTGCCGTTTAAAAAATTTATTATAGTAAAAGATTCCCTATTATTATATATTGTAGTGTAGAGCATTAATCTAAGACAGTTTGTTTAAAGTTTCCTGTTAGAGAGATTATTACAGTAATATTACTTCACGTGTCAACAATAATCGAGTCTATCCGTCGACTTGGAGTAGCGTATTAATGAGACAGCTATAATGGATAATAACTTTTTTACAAACATATAACTCCAGGTCCGTAGTGTAATGAAAACCTTACAATTATGTGCCTGTAGTTTACTATAAATTAAGCGTCAGCAATAATATTAAATAGTAGCACTAAAAAAATGATAGATCATAAACAAGACGTTAGGTTATCATAGTTGCACATACAAAGTTTTTTGTGGTCTGCAACGTACGGAAAAATCAGAGCGCGATATAACCATCTTGGCTGTGTAATCCACCTGAAGTAAGTAACGGACCCCTTTAATTTTAGCTTGCAGAATATGCTACATGAACAAATTACGCGGCGCATCCGTTAATTGTTTGATACAGTCGACCTCCCCTACAGTTACAGGCTGTTTCGGTCCCTGCCATTTTTATAGTAAATTTCCTCCCTTAGAGTGTCATCCCCGGTATCGTGTAACATTCAAAATAGAACTTTAAATATAATCACGCATTGATGAAAAAAGTATCATTAGCTTCACAATGTCCAAAGTGTGCAAGAGTTCATACAAAACAAGGTCCCCGGTTGAATCTAGATACTAAACGCAAAATTCTAGACGACATCCAGCATGGCGAAATAGCAAACTATTCTAATAAGAAATTTAACCTTTCCATAGATCGCTCACTGTTAGTAAAATTTTAACAAAAAAAGAAAAATGGCTTGATCTTCCTCCAAGTAACCAGACTACTACCAGTACAATTGAAGGAAGCTCGAATATAAGTATAATACTAGTGATTGGACTAGCATGAATACGACGAGCACGAAAATATCTAAATTGTTTGAAATCATTTTTGCGTATTTCCGCGATACAACTTGTGATTTCGCACTAATTATTGCACGCGTTTGCGTTATTGGAATAATAGCGAAGCCATTACCGAGTAAGGAGATTTGCGAGTGATTTATTGACAAAAGGATGTGCATTTATCTTGGATCAGTCTGTTCGTAATTTGACTTAATTGGCAAACCGAATATTCAAAACTATCCGTATCGGTATAGCAAAGATGCCAAATAAGTATCGGACCCCCTTAATTTTAATTTGCCCAACAATCCACATAATAATTGTTTCCAAAATTTTTATATATTATAACCTAGATTTTTGTTGACATATCCTACCCCTTCTAATTAGGGACAGGAGTGAGTAGATGCTTTGACCATATAGTGTATAAAAAACCCTAATAACATGTAAAATTTTAGCTCAATTGGATGTCTCTAGAAAAATTTTCAAATAGCAAATGTTTTTACCTCAAGGTAAATCATGCCCATGTGCGGTTTCGGTCATAAAAAATATCTCGACGCTTTTCTAACCAAATTTCGTGATCTTTTATTTATTTTGTTCTTCCGCATCAGAATACATTTATATAATTTTTAAACAGATTACTGTGTGATCGCTACTACAGAATGCGAACGATAATGATGTTGATTGATCTTTATGGGCGTTTATTGTCTTCTAATTCAACTGCAAAATCCCAAGAATACGTAGAGACAGATCTGACAAACAAAACAAAGAAAAGATCATGCAAATTGGTTAGAAACATGTGGACATATGGGTTTTTGAAGTTCGCGTTCGAAATAATGACATTGGACATGCGGTTTTTGATATGTCTGCTGTAATAGTAAATTATAGATTTGGTCGGCTCCAGTATTTATTTTGTAAATGACTGACAATTAATAGACATGATTCATACTTTACACTATATCAACAGAAATCTAGGCTATTACTATGACGTAAAAATTTTGGAGGGGCTACTTATTCAGGGACTGTATTAGTATTAGTAATTTATTTAATATGAAGATCATCTGACTCCCGCGCAAATCACTTGACGTCGGGAAAGATAGCACACCTACTACTACTACTACGTTTTCCGGTTCACAATATTCCGCATAGCTATATTCATTTAAAGATGAACATCTTACCTCACAAAAGGTACAAATTTCACTTATGCCTCCCCCAACTCTATGGGTCAACTCGTCTAATTTTAATTCGACAGTTACCATGTATATAATCTCAAGAATCGTGAAAAAGTACGACGAGACGAAGAGAAAGCTCAAGCTGAAGACGAAGCAAAAGCCGAGAGAGCCTCAGCTGCAGTAAGTATATATGGTGCAGAGAACATTAAGCATTAGCCGAGGAGCGAAGGAAAGATTACAGCAAGAATTAGAAACTTTGCGCGTCCAAAAGCAAAATAATGGAGCCCAATTAATCAAATTATTATTAATCTCCAGCAAGAGATTGAATGATGATTCTTAGAGAAAAGTAGCTTTGCAAGAGCAAGTTATAGCTTTGCAACAAGCTCCCCTAGATGACTAAGTACAAGTAATATAACCAGGAAAAATCAAATTAATTCGGATGACCCGGGCTACAAATTATAAAATAGATCAATTGTACAAGCTTCAATTAGACAAAAGAGCACGGTTAATTATTCACGTAAACACACCTCTCCCTACTGTTCTGTGAATCAGGAACAAGAATACCGTCTGAATCTCCTCCGGCAACGTGCAAAACAAGAACCAGCTGAGAACACACAGAATGCAAAAGAGAATTTGGGCAGACAAGCGGAAGAAATATCATCACAGCACGTTAATTTCTGGGCAGAATTGGAGGAAAAGGTTGGTATTTATGTTGTCAAGCATAGACCGTGATTGATTTGAACGTTGAGGTTTATGCTTGATATTCAATGTGCGTGTGTAATAACACATTCCAACTCGCGTTCCTTCAGTCAAATAAAGTAATACGGAAGAATCCAGAGTATGAATCGGAGAAGAAAGCAAAAGAAGATAAATGGGAAAGGAACGTTACCATGTACTTGGATAACGTTACTAGAAGTTAGTAGATTTGCATTTAATATATTGGAGAGAGGGTGGAATACAAGATGTGGATGAATCTGTGGAATCATAAGTCGGATCAAACTAGACGTAGTCTCACTAATACGCGAAAAGGATGCTAAACGTCCTGATGCTTCCATTTATCTAGATCAAAGTCCGTGGTATAATGCAAGATCAACAGATGTAGAAATAGGTCCTTTGGATAAAGACGGGGAGAAACGAAAAGCAAAAACGTAAGAAAATTCGGTAATCAGAATTTCAAATCATACATAGTCCTAACAGTACTTCTTCTATCAGACTTCGCGATGCAAAAGCCAAGACCCGTCAAGATCCTCTCTCAACTATCTCAACATCTCTATCCAAGAGACATAAAAAGTCCAAACGCTCTTCAACTTTATCACTTCCCTCCTCGTCTAAGCACTCACAATCCTCCTTGTCGTCTTCACAATCCCTATCCACTATTGAAAAACTGAGACAGGAACGTCTCGAGCGCGAGAACCAAGAACGTCTTCGCACCGAACGGCTACTTTCTCAAATATCGGGTCACTCTACATCGACAGATCCTGAAGAGAGTGATCTTCCGCGTGGGAAGTATTATTCGCAGTTTAATCCTGAGGCGACTGCTGCTGTGCGGGAGAGGAGAGGGGACAGAAAGGAAAGATACAGTGATAAATATAGAATTCGGAACGAGGAGAGGAGAGATAAGGAGACATATAGGCCGTATTAGGAGATTGGATTTTCTAATAAGATGTAATCCAAGATGAGTATGTAGAGTAGATATTTATTGAGAAATTAATAATTGAATAGGAAAATGTGAATATTATTGTAGTATTTCTGGTACGCTCAGGACTCTAATGCAATCGATACATTTAATACAAGCTACCGCATGAAAGTAAACCGCTGGGGTTTGAACCGGAAATTATCTTTTGACATTGCCAAGTGACGGTAATATGTAATCATCGTTTCTTCTTCTTCTTCTTTGTAGTTTTTTGTTTTATTTCGTACGGATCTATTCCTTTGCGGTAGTGCTCCCTCCACCGGAGAATCCATCTTAACGTATTGAAGTAAAAAAAATTAGGATACCAATGGAGGCTGGGATTGTCTCGTAAGAAGGACACTGAATGGGTCACTTACTTTCGCTCTTTTGCCGCCAATCCCATTTTACTCTTCATTTCGAGACTAGTTGCGGTGAATAGATGTTCCCAGTCCTACGATAAGATAATCACGATTAAACAGGCGACCTCACGCGTCCATTCTATTATCAGATGCAGATAAACTCTGCTTTAAAAATTTTTTTGCTTGAACTGTTTAGTCGTTCAAGTATAAATATCCACCTACTTGAAACTTATCTGCCAATCCCACACATCCACGTCCGATACGCTCCAGAAAATCCTTTGGTGTTGAGATATTGCCTAATCAAATATATTAATATCAGCTATAACTGACTAGTTCCTCTTCTATCCGCTAGTATTCTCCCATACCTCGGGGAGGTGGAACTTCTTTCCTATTAGCAATCAATGGTAAATCGCTATACCGACGTATTGGTATATAGTTGTGCGTTATCGAAAAGAATCGGAGCGTTCGGAATTGCAACATAGTGCGAAAAACAGTTAATTACTTGTGCATTTTAATTTTGCTTTACTATTACTTACTATTACAGTGAAACAATCACGTGATACATACACGATGGCGTTTACATATCATATTTACTACGCTGAAACGATTTGTGAGTACATGTTCCAATTTAGGATACAAAAAGGATTAAGAGTGTCTCTATCTTCAGGACTGGTTTCTCAGTTTATAGAAGCCAGTAATGAAAGCAGAGGATTGAAATTTGACGCAATAAAAGCGAGAAAGCATATATTACAGTCTACAGTTCCAATGCATAGAATAATAACTTATATTTTTAGTATTGACAAATAGATACAGAGAACCAAACACTCTGTACGTAATGATATGATATGATTCATGCAACAACAACAAGACCATCGATAAGGCCAAGGAAGTATCTTGTCACGATTACAAAGGCCAATATGTATATCGAAAGGCAAATATCTGTTTCGGATAAATAAAGCAGCTTGACAATACTACGCGCAGAACGACATATCAATAGTAGTAATGCCCACTATTGATATGTTACAATCCATCCGTACACACACTTTTGTATTAAAATGGGTCTTTAATGCAAGAACCCACCCATCAGAGCAGGGTACTTGTTGACGATAATTGGTTATGCATCATAATAAACTACAGTTAATCCTAGTAAGACAGTGATACCCAATACGCAACACCAGCTAATAAATTGTTCTTTTCCAAATTCTTTTATTGTCTATATTAATATCTATCCGATTGCGAGTTGGTGGGTGATAGAGTATCTCCCTATCGCATGATAATCATACGCCCCGAGTTTCTATTTCCTTTTTCTATTTCACGTCAGAAATCAACCCTAATTGGTCAAATTTTCATCATAGTGTTTAGCGGGGATGATTCGATTTGCGGTTAAATAAATCTTTCTACAGCCTCTTCCCCTCCTCCTCAAAGAACTAAAATAATAAATAATAGATAATAGATATGCGTCTGATCTCGATACAGCGCCAATTACTTTCTGCACTCCAAATGTTTGTATCTATAAGCACGAACCTAGCTCCTCATTCCTATAGTGATCAATCACCCTCACTCCCGACACACGCGTATTGTCCAGCTACACCTCGATTCGAACCGTTACTATTTGCAACTCAACTGTGCTTTAACAAAAGTACCCTTAATGACACTTTATCAACTAACAATCCGACGATGGACATTGCAGGCGGTTCCAATCGAATAGGAAAGAAGGGAGGTCCTCGTAAACGGAAGAAAAACAAGAACAAAAAACCAAAACCGCTGGACAACAACAAGAAGAACGAGGAAAATAATAAACCAAGTCCACCCATAACGAACGACGCATCGAAGAATGAAAATCAGGAGTCAAGTGAACGTAGATCAAGGACGAAAGAAAGGAAGAATAAGGCACAGCAAAAAGAGTTAATAGACGACACATTCTATGGTGAAGAAGAAGAAGAAGAAGAAGAGTATGTTATGTCTCATTACGACAAAACGCTTAAAGACATACCGTCGCCTCCTCCTTCCTCTTCTTATCCTTCCTCGTCTTCACATTCTTCTTCAGATCTGTCGAATCTCAAAGAACGATTTAATTATGCTTCGCATGTCTGTGCAGCAATGGTATTAAACACCAATACTGGAGCCAAATTTGCTCATGCCATTCTCACTGAAAGCAAGGATCAATATATGCTTAATGAATGTGATGCCGGGAAGTTTGTAGTTGTTGAACTATGCAATGATATCTTGATCGATACAATTGTACTTGCCAATTTTGAGTTTTTCTCGTCAACTTTTAAACATTTTAGAATTTCCGCCAACAATGAACATCCGCCTAGAAAAGAAAGGCCATGGCGTTTGTTGGGAGAATATAAAGCTGAGAACACGAGGGAATTACAGGTAGGAAAGAAGATTCATGATGAGAACCAACGTGATTATTTAGCAACTGGATTAGTGTATTTTGTAATAGATACTTGTAAAGTTAAGGTTTACATCATATCTAAGACATACCTTCATAAAGGCTGCCAACTTTTGTTGGACTATATAACCATACCAGTAACAGTTTAATGCCAGCTTGGTTACGACGTGATGCTTACCATTATGCGAATTATTACTCACTCCTATCAGGTATTCAAAGTAAAAGATCCTCTCCTTTGGGCCCGTTATATTCGTATAGACTTTGTAAGCCACTACGGCCGTCAATTCTTCTGTCCTGTCAGCCTTTTACGCGTATACGGAGTCACCATGATTGAAGACTATAAGCGCAAGGAAGAAGAGGACTCTTCCTCCGGAGCTTCCGATATAACCGCAAGAATAAATAAAACCGATGATGACGGCGCTATGGGAGAGCTTATTGACTATTTAAAAACTGAGGAAGAGACATTAAAAAGGATTGATAAGAAACTGAGTGGCGAGAGTGAGGAAAAAGGCAGCGAAGAGAAAAGTGAGAGACGGAATGGTGGTGGGAATGGGAAAAATGAAGGATTGAGTCCTGGAAATGATCAGGGACGCGATGATAGAAAGGGGAGGGTTAATGAAGTAAGCGGTGAAGTTGATAGAGAAACCAATTCAGGGGAACGTAATCTGTATAGAGAAGATTCAAATTTTTTGCATGCACTCTTTGCCTCTGATTCCATGTCTACGCTTCAGTGTCCTCGAATACATGACGAAAAGGAAATATTTAGCTATCCGCTCTGCAAAATTACAGATGACCCATATTACTTTATGTCATTCTCCGATTATGCACGAAGACTGTTAGATTATCAATATATGTGTTTGGAAGATCAATGTGGGCTCTATGAAGAGAATTGTGGGAACACAAGATCAGCAGGCAGTGGTGCTGTGACGACACCATCAGCATCGCCGTCAATACCTTCACCTTCTTTATCAATGCCCTTATCCTCTACCCTCCCCTCGAGTTCTGCTCACGTCTCTCCCCCCACTCATCAACCGTCTTCACAAGAAGCTGCTCCCCCTCGCATCCAAAAAGAAGATTCTGATACTCAGAGCGTCTATCAAAAGTTCCTCAACCGTTTTTCTGATCTTGAACTTAATGCAATTGCGGCAAGGAAATCTATGGAGAGTCAGAGTAAGATGCTGAGAGATGTCCTGAACAAAATACAAACTCAGCAAGTTCAGATTTTGGGTTTTATGACCGAATTAAACCACAATGTGACGGGACTGGTGAGTATCAGAGTTGCAACTAATTTAATGGTTGAAATATGAATTGTTAATAAGTGGAGCGAACAATGGTAAGTGGCGTATGCGTATATTCATCATGTAATTGCCTTCTAGGATGAAAGATTGGCGAGGGTTGAAAGCACTATAAGTGAGCATGCCAGAGAGATAAGATTTCTATCTAAACAGATGGAATTTTATGCAGAGGTAAGAACTTGTATGTAGCTAGAACAACACACTCGCGAGCCTTATAGATAAAATTACGAATATGTCATTGGCGCGTCGATGACACAATTTTATTTGGACTCTCCTCCTTTGTTCTCGTCAACCTTTTTGTCATTCCTTTTTTAGTCGTCTTGCCTAATTCTACTTATTTTTTCTGTTCTCAGATTTCTACTCTGGAATATGTTGTCATCGTTTGGCTCCTTATCCTTACGCTTGTCATGGTTGCAGTATTATGCAATTACTATGTTACACAGAAATTTCTCGGCACTATTCATGACTTGTACCGAATGATAATAAATGCGATGAAAGTGTCTGGGATTCATAAAGAGCCCAAGCTATTTGTAAATCAGGATGATGTAAAGGATTCGGCAATCAAGTGAGACGTTGGATTAAGTAGTAATAAAAAGGGCAAGCGTATATGCTGGACAGCTATGATGTCAAAGGAGATTGTGACGTCACTAATTCAAATGGATGGACATTGGAAATTACTAACAATGTATTATAGTTAAAATTTTTTACATGTACAGTACCTTCAAGTGGTCTTTTGCGTACTAAGTAAACTTGTTTGCAACAATGTTTTACATATATTTCTGTAATTTGTTTCAATGTCTCTTTGATATCTTGATCTATCTCTATCAAAGCGATCAAAGCCAGCCTAACGATTTTAAAGATTTTGATCGCTATAAATACAAAATCCCATACGCCAAGGTCAAATGCTTTACTAATAAAATATATTCAGAATGCTTTGTAATATATATGTTTAAAATTTCATAATATTTGGTTCAGAAATGATAGAGAAAAGAAATTTTAATAAATTGGTTATTAAAATATATGCAATACATTAACATTTGGTAGGATTTCCTCTACGGGGCATGCTATCAACACTGTATTGTTCTCTTGTTCTCAAGAGTATTTATATGAGGTATCAGGTGATGACTTAAAACAGATACACAGTGGCTCTCTTTATAGTGTACCTCCTTTATAGTGGAGACTAATTAAAATCGCGATAAAGGTTCAAAACCATCTATAATGAATGCTATCCGATATAGGATATAGTGTATTTTTTACTAGTAGAATGTAAATAGCCGATTTTGCTATTTACTACGGAATTATTTGATTGGTCAGAAATTTACCCATGTATTTTGGATCGGGTGACGACTCATGATAAATTCGAATGGTGATATAAAATTCATTATATAAACGACCTTTCTCCCAGGCGGAAAAAGTAAGTTGGTTACTGCTGAGGGTAAAACTGAAGTGGAACTACTTCCCTGGGGTGGCTTCATCTCTTGTAATAATAAAATATTAATATCCGTTATTGATTATTGGAAATGTATTATTTTGTTCTCTACCGATACTTTGATGTAAGAATTCCCTAGTGACTAATAAGACATGTTACGGAATAATTATTTCGTTATAAAATTATGGCGATTAATAAGCAGCGCATGAGAAGTATTATATCATTTTCTGAATTGACACTTTGCATATAAGTTCTTCGCGATTAATAAGACAAGTAGCGGAGTATCCGTCTATCGATGCTTTGTGGTAATATCTTGGCAACTAATAAGGGATGCGTGAGAAATGTTCAGTTTAGAAAGATTGCGATTATAAGACCTTATGTTTAAAATAGAAAAGGCGTTCGTAATAATAAAGACGCCGAGAGTTTAATATACTCGTTAGAAGGTTGATACTCGTAATATACAACAAAAGTTATTGTGAATCCATCGTTATTGTCCACTTATCGCTATTGTGAACTTATCATTATTGTAAAATTATCGTTATTCTGTTCAAGTTAAAAATCAATGAGGGGGAACCTATGCCAAAATGTTAGTAGAGTATTGGAGCCATAGAGTGTGATAGAGACACGAAGCGACATGCGGATACTCTTGATGAAAATCCAATCGAAGCATTACAGTGGAAAGAGCAATATTAATGTTGGGGCTGAATTAACGAAATAATGTATAACGGGTATTAGATATTTTATATATGAGCGGCATTTCTTCGTACGCTACGTTTTAAGAGTAGCGGTTAAATCTAAAGTGTTGTATTCTTATTTAATTGTTATATATTTTGTAATTATACGGATAGTATTAGTATAGAAAGGACCGATGGAGAATATATCTGTTGCCTAAGATATATTCGAGACACGATCCCAATGTAAGTCTGCGAACAAGAGTACTACGAAACACGAATCATGATAGTCAATGCAAAATCATTCGTCTAGCAACGGTGACCTGTCTCAGTTTCGAACCCAGACACTCAGCTCCAGAACTCAGTTGACTCAGTCCGCTTTTGTACCCGTTTTTTTTTTTTTATGTGTTTTTTATGTGTACCGTAAAAAATTACCGCAGTTTAAGCGGTTTAGGGATTATTAAGTTGGGTAAGAATGGATCGGGCGAGAAAGCCAAAGATAATAGTTCGCGGCGGACAGTCCCCAACTGGGATACAACAAGGTCATAATTTTCCAAGCCATTTTAGAAAAGTACTATTATTACATGAGAAAAAAATATTTGTGAGAAACCGATTGTCGCACGCGTCAGTTTATATAAAGTCGTGTTTGCGTTAGTGGCGCAACATACTACGTATGATTGGTACATTCGCCTGACTCGCAACAAACACAATGATGATAATTATTTACGATACTAATACTAATAATACGTCAAGTTATACCGTATTTTTTTTTTAATGTCTACTATTTACTTTATTTTTAATTATTTGGTTTTATGTTTAATTCAAATATAAAAAAGAAGGTGAACATAAATATTCCTCCCATTGCCGGCAGACGCATATTATTGACAATAACATAAAGAGAACCAAATATTAATACTAACATTAGTAGTGATTTGTATGGAATATTTGGAATGGTCTCGCAAGACTTGCTGAAGAAAAAAAAGATGAAGACAGTATTACTGCGGCGGTTTTATGTAAATTTTTTAATTTATCGAGATAAGTGATGTTTCCCTATCAGTTTTCTACTAAATTACTTTATTTCGGACTGGGTATTTTGCAAAAGAACTGCTGTTCTAGGTCAAACAGCAATTAAAATTTGCAGTTTTATAAAAATGCCTTAGAATATGCAGCTTCTGCTGTTAAGAAATCAGTCAAATTGAATTCTATAATGATTCATAAAGCAAAAGAGTATAATAATATCTTTGATTGTTTAATATTTAGTTGTGTATGATACTTTAAGATAAAATAAAGAATTTTTCAGCCCGAATTTTTTGTACTAAAAATACAAATTTTATTATAAACTGTAAAAATAAAGAGAATTCTCTCGCGCCTCTAACAAATGAATCGATTACCTCGATTAGTAAAGATTTACCTCTTTAAATTAAACAATTTGCCATTTAAGGAATAAGTGTTACCAAAATCTTAATTCTTGATTCGAAAACCATGAATATCACTGCCGGTCCTTCTATTAAGAATAACGCAAGAATATATATAATTCATTATCCGGTAGTAAAAAACTCCGGTCAATTACGAGAAAGACTTTAACGGGACTAAAGACAATACGCGCTTATATGAAAATCAGGAACTTGCAGAAAAAATTTCAATTAGTCCTGTCAGTAATTGAAACACGCAAACAGTCTTATTTACCAATATTAGCAATTTGTGTCGACGCCGCAGTATCCTCGATAAATAAACTCGACTTTATCTTATCGAGTTTGACTATGTATTAGTCTAGCGAAATGTAAGTTATAATGTCGATCCGCACATCAAATCAATTGTCCCTTAACCCTGCTGCCTTTTAATAGTAATAGTGTGCATGTAGATTATTCAACGTCAATCCTGGGTATATCAATAAACTGGATTGCACCTAAATGTGCGGTGTGATTATTATTACCTTTCTAGTTAATAGATCAACTCGTAAAAAATTTTGTAATGTTAATTGAACGACTTGTCGCATACTTGCAAGACTGAATTGTACACGGATGCAGTGGAATATTCAGGTAAGTAAATAAGTGTCAATCACATGTAAGAACACGAAAACTCAGCCGTCTCGTCAAAACTGCAAAATGACAATTCTCATGCATGATAACATTGCCTAGATAAATCGGAATTTGACCAATTCGGAATATAATGATAAGCATTACATACAAAATATAAATATGTGCTTGATGGTCCTCGTAGACTTGTTATGTAAGGATGTACTATTACCGGTCGGATAATGTACTTTCTACGAAGGATATCTTGGAGAACAATACCATTTTGATTTGGCTCTATGCAAAGTTCGCTATTGACAATACACGGAAAGTCCGACTTAGGTTTGCTCATTTGAAATCTGTGCTTTAAGAACATGTGATTTCAAGGGGCATTTGTGAATGATGAATGACCCTTTATCAGCGACTGTCTATATGGTTAGAAGTCTTTTAAATTAGTTAGAACTAAAATACTCCCTAATGCACAATGGGCATGCATTTAGGGAGCTGCATTTAAATCACGCACCTATTATTATACTTTATTTGGGTTACATGATTGTTCTAGCATTGACAATCCAATATATATCTGAGAATATTTGTATCCTTCGTTGAATTGCCTTAGTCATCTAGATGCTAATTTCTCCCATTTGAACAGTGTATCCCATTGAACAGTGAAGACTTTATTTCCATTATAGAGAAATGACACTTTTATCCGACGCTTTTATGGTCGTACAGCATATTCTGCCATTCTTCCATTATTATTATGACTAATTCTGACTAGTGTACGAAAAGTCGGAAAAAAAGTGTCGGAATTATCGACTATAACAACCATAGTTGACTATACCATCACGTCATATTTTCAGAGATTGAGCCCTCGTTTAATCCACGTTCAGCGGTTACGAATTGTTTCTGTTATTATCATGCATACTTTTAGTAATACAAGTGAAACTCGATGCTCGGTTCTAACCCAAAAGGTCGCTATATCGAGTACGTCAGTATATCCAAATTAAGTACGCCCTTTGTTCCATCATTGTCGTTATATCGGTATATTAATATCGGAATCCTTTTTTTTTTATCTGCTGCCTAAATATAACCCTCCTTTAAGCGGCGTTGATTGCGGCAACATCTGCTGATGCATGACACATTCAATCTATGACTTGCGGCATCAATGGATAATGTGAATTGACTCGCGTATAATACGCTTACGGTTTTATGGGCTGTCAAACATCAGTGCTGTTGTGAAAGACTGGATAAGTCTGAATTGAGCGGTATCAAGTACTGAAGCATAGCTTTGCTGGAGAGTATTTTGAAAAATCAACTCTGATCTTTCATTCGTTTTCCCAAAATGAGATGCTCCGGATGATTTTTCTTGTTATCGTGAGCATACAGTCAAGGCTCAAAGTACTTTAAAGCGAAATAAGGCAATAGCATTAACTTATTGTAGTCTTACTTTGCCAAGACTCCAAGGTACCGCGGGTAAGACGAAATATAGATTTTGGACACTTTAATCAATCGTTTAGCAAGCAATAAATTAACGAAAGTTTCTGTTGACTATAGATGGGTGGGACTCAATGACTCGAGATAGGGAAGATCTTTATTCGCAGATCTCTTGACTTGTCAATTTGCGCGTTTCAGATTAGGGAGTGCTTAATTATCTGGTTCATGTGATTTTTCTTGGCAGTAAGTCAGATGACCGAGGTGTCTACAATATAACATATATATATATAGCTGTGCGGATTGTTCGAATAACTGTCATAATAACAAATTATTAAGAGGGACTATGGACACTATATTGCCAATGGTTTACATCGTTCGACATGGTAATAGCTGATATAAGGAACAGCGTCAATAATAATTATGAATAATAATTATATGTTTTTCCAGGTGAGACCGACTGGACAAAATCAGGCAGGTATACGTCGACGATGGAAATCGGATTAAATTCTCGTGGTAAAGCACAAGTGGCTCAATTATCGCGCTTCACATTTGAGAATTCGCGTCAAGGTAATAATCACTTTTTGTGCTGATTACTGATAATCGGTCAGCCGCATTTGCGCTCATTGCTCACCGCTCATCCATTATCTTTTCAGAATGCATTAACACAAAGAACATTTCAATGACCCTCTTATCCGAGAGACACTGTGCTCAAGAGACTTTTGATATCTTCAAAATTCCTAACAAAGATAAAATTCTTACTTATATTGAACCAAATATATCGGAATGGCATTTTGGAGATTACGAGTGTATGACTAGAGATGAGATTCATAGCACAACAGCATTCTGGGACATATGGTATATTTTTGTGGATGAAGAGGGGGAGGGGAGTGTGGGAGAAAGGGAAGATGGAGAGAGCAGGTTGAGTTAAATATGGGAAAAAGAAAGATGAGCTATTAATATATTGAAATGTTTGATTAATTGTAAGCATTATTTGTTGTCATAGGAAAGAAGGATGCCCCAATGGTGAAACGATCGAACAAGTGGCCGAACGTTGTGATCATGTCATTGAAAAAATTATGGCACATCATGCAGAGGTTATCAAACAACTTTGCGCATATAGATCACGCAGCTAATCATTGTTTCGATTTATATCAATCATTCCTCCTTACTCTCCTCTCATTTCATCTCTACTTCAGCACATGGATCACAATCCAAAAGCTCCGGGAGGCGATGTTCTACTGATAGCTCACGAGCATTCACTTCGTGTACTCGCCGCCAGGTGGGTGGGTCTGCCACCCGAACACGCGAAAAATCTTGAACTTGATACTTCGGTGAGTGTACTTTACCCCCCCCCCCCCTTTTTTTTTTTTTTACATTCAACTTATGGGTAATGTAAGATTGACGAGATAAGACTTGCATTATGTCTAATTACGTGCTTCGTTATCTCTTGCCTCACGAATGAAGAGCCTAAGCGTTCTAGGTTACAATCGATCAATGCGAGTGCCAGTAATTAAAACTTGGAATATCAGAAGTCAATTCTTTAATAGAGACCCCATACTGTAATCTTTAGTCGGCACAAAATAAATTTTCTAGATGTCATCGCACCAGAATTAATATACCCGATTAGACAAAGAACTTGGTTACCAAATTTGCGAATACAGAAACTTGGATTGAACTTGCGAAATGTATGAAAAGATGGCATTTCTGTAAACGCCATTTTGAGTCCCAACTTTTTTGCACTGTCGCGATGAGAGTATGAATACGACACTCGATTTGATAAATTGATCAACAAAGTTCTCGTTCATCATTGGCATAACTTAAAATTCTTCGGACCTTAGATTACGCAACATGCTAGGTTGCAAAATCTATAGCTCAGAACCCTCTCCACTTGTAAATACATTCTCCTTGCTCATAAGCATTCATTATTAATAGTTTACATTAAGCAGGATTAAAAGTTATCTATGTCTGTAAACACATCTATGACTTTTTGCTTTTTCCTTTCTTTCTCTTGACATCATATTTTTTCTCCAGGCTCTCAATTAAATCGTTCATCCTCTTCTTTCCTCTCATCCTCATAATCTCTTTTAACTTCTCCTCACCATCATCATTCCCTAACAATTTCCCATCCAAACCCAGCTCCTCTGCCATCTTCTCTGCTTCTTTGGCTTCTTTCTCTGCAGCTTTTCTTCTCCGTTTACTCGCAGCAGCAGTAGTGGTGGTAGTGAATTTCTTATGAAGAGGAATCGTTTTGGATGAGATCTCTTCTTGGAGAATAGAAATAAAGCGTGGCTCGTCAGAAGTGGATGAGCAAGGAATGTCGGAAAGAATAAGGTTCATGTCGCCCTTGTGCTTTGTATAGGATTCTGTGAGGTCTTTGCGTTCTTCTTCGGAGCCTGTGTGTCCAAAGACGCGAGACAGGATAAAAGATAGTGAATTAAATAACTGGACTCATAGCCAACAAAGACTTGCATGTTAACCCAGCGAGTGCTTCAGACACTTTTTTTTTACTCCAAATTCTTGCATATCTATCTTACTTACCTTGATATGTATTCTTAAATTCTTCAATGGTCTTAGCATTAACAGTGCCTGACCACAATTCCTTAAAGTACTCTGTCCAACCTTTTTCGTCTAATCCATCAAGCGAATCTAACCCATCGGTTTCTCCTGTCTTATCGTATCTATTTCGTTTCTTCTCGTCACTCAATATCGAATACGCGAACACAATGGACTGAAATTTCTTCGTCGCATCGGCGCGAACGTCGGGTGACGAGTTAACGTGTTTGTCAGGATGGTGTTCTAGAGCAAGTTTACGATAGGACTTCTTTATTTCCTCGGAAGAGGCCGTGCGCGATAGATTCAGAATGCAGTAGAGGTCTTCATAAGAAGAAAGAACGTCTTCCAAGTTTGTGTTTGACATTTTGAAGGGGGCTGGTAAAGGTGAAAGATGCTTGCAATACAAATAAGCCGCGCTAGATCGATTGTGACCGATTATAAGATGGTATTAATATACGCGGTAATACCGTACGTGTTTATTATTATATTTTTCGTCACCTGCTTTAGATTACAAAAAAAGTAAGTTCAGCTGTACTACTAGAAATTAGAAACTAACCTCGATAGGCCACCAGAAAAGTCACTATAAGCCTGAAACACAGTCAATTTGTCGACACTAGATAGCTATGCGAGAGAATGACTGTACTATTACAACGTATACCTCATTATATGCATCCAACTTGACTTGTAGGCGAGCAACTCAGTACATACAAGAATACTAATATCATTAACATATTATATTTATATGATAACATAATGGTTTAACTTATATTAGAATGACGACTTGCGTTTAATTGAATATGTTATGAAGGAATGAGTTGTCCCCGCCTTGAATGTAAATGTACTTATTTATTACATCATTAAACATCGTATATTATGTTAATAATATCCTAGCTATGTCTCCATACTACGTTCTCTCTAGAACATTTTTTATTGAACGGGTTTTTCTTTCTACTATTAACTTTGCCTCCAATACAGTTTAATAATTATTTCAATTATGGATAATATTACTTTACATTATGATTAAAGGGCAAAAGCTGCTTAATCGATCAGTGAAAATAATAGCTCACCCGTGACATGTTTATAGCGTGACGACTAGTTGCGTTTGTATCCTAGAAATATAATGTAGTTTTGTTGCCCCAGAGGTCTTCGATTCATCAGCCGCGCAACTTTTCGATTCCCAAGCTTCTCCAGTATTACAGTAAAACCGTTTTTTTTTATGCTCGGAATTAAATGTGCGCAATTTAACCAAAAATTGAAGTAATTCTGTCCTGTAAATTCTCCAGATTGTTTCGATATGCTATAAACATTGAAAGACTAAAATTATTTTGAGATGGGTTAAAATTCGCAGCATACAAGTTATTCTAGTCAATTTATTTAATAAATGGACGGAACAGCCAATTATGCCTGGATAGAATTTATGGCATAAGTAAAAGAAACGTCAAAACGCGAAAAATTGGCTGAACAGAATCAATGATGGAGTAATCTGACCAGAACAGACTATAATTCGATTTTTTAACAACTAAAGTAAAAGGAGAGCGTATTTCAAATTGGCTTCTCACATATAAACGAGCCATTATTTGTGCTATTTGTTATAGAGGTTAATAACGGACATTTTTGTAATTACACACACTGTATGATTACATCACTTTCTAAACATTTAAGTAAAACACATCGCGTGATGTTAAGAGTTGCACTATCCTAATAAGGTTTTATGTCCTAATTGGGAAAAAAGATGAGAACAATAATATTGCTATTAAAAAGATCATGAATCAAACGAACTTGCGTTCACGTATTCACAAACCCAGAATGGTGTCAAGATGAATAATGATAAGGTGAATACTATTATTCCAGAAAAGAGTACTTCGTTACGATCCCGCCATGTAATATTATGCGGGTTACAAATAGTCATTGTTATGTAAAATGGAAAGGATTGGATTACAGTCTTGACGCGCATCAATAGTAATAGAACTTTCGATTCAAGCCGTCTCAGGAATCTAGGTAATTTCCCTAGATGACTTTCCAATGAGCCTCGACTAGCATGGTTGTCCTAAGGAAATAGGTCTGAATACAGAGCCGAGTGTGGCTCAAACCGATGTGGCTGTCCTCACCTTTTTCTATCGGTTTTATACGAGGTTGTTGCTTATTATTATTATTGGCCAATTCATAAATTCAGTGTATAATAATTGATTCCACAAGTGTTTTAACAACAAGAATTTATCTTGCAATTGCCTTTTTACAGAAAATGACTCTACAAAGAACACTGTTATTTATAAGAGGCAAAAAAATACGAAGCCTAATACTAAACTATGTTATCATCATGAAGGTCACAACGTATACTATTACTATCATCCAAAAACTACAATGAGAGTGTGTACTAGATGCTTGATGTAAATAAGAAATGCTACAAAGTAATAAACCTACCAATCTGTGATTGACGTAATGTATCTATTTGATCATGAGAAATCTTCGACCTCAGTATATGTAGAATTGATAAGATACGAATGTACGTATTAGCATTAGTATATAAACTCGCCAAAATCGAACGTTGACCAATGAAATTGCAAAAATCAGGTCACGTTCTATTCCGATAATTTGTCGGTTTATCGATCTATTGATTTCCCTAATTCGACTTCTTGCTGACGCTTTAATTAACTATCACACATACCCTCGAGTGAACTGAACAGGATTATGTGCAAAAGACCTTTAACATTCATCTTAGGTCCGCAGCCAATAAGGAACATACTATCCGAATAGAAGACGAGGGCCTGGGGGTTAATTTACAATGAACACGCAACTTTCTCGAGTTGGAATGCTGGTTATTGACTTTGATGAAACAGTCACACTCGAAGACACGACTTGTGAAATAGCCAACCTCGCTTATAATAAAAGAGCCAGAAAAAATATTTGTCCCATGACCATAATAGAGAAAGTAAACGATAGTAATAGAGCGAGATTTGGAAGTAGGAAGCAGTCACGGTCCCTCATACTGCAGTCCCACCCACAGCAACTCCAACAAATTCAAACCTCAAGCGACTATCCATATCCTTGTCCGCCACCTTGGTCTTTTTTTGTAAACCTTTACTTCAAAGAACGCGCCGATTTCATATTGAAATGGCGTCAGAATAATCCTCACTACACGCTCAATGATTTCTACTCTCTTCTTTCGTCTCTCTCCCTTGTCGAGAACAATTCTCTTGACCGCGTCGAATCCTACCATTGTCTTACTGGTATTTGTGCCTCTGAGCTTTATTCATGTGGGAAATGTATTCCCAAACGTCCAGGCGTGGTCGAATGCATACGCTCTTTTATTCAAAAGGACAATCGAAGCGTATACGTATTAAGTACTAACTGGTCGAGTGACCTGATACTGGGCGCGTTGAGTGATGTAGGTGTGGAGAGGAGTATAATCATGTCTAATGATTTGGACTTTGATTCGAAGGGTGAATACGCGACCGGGAAGATTACAAGAAACGTGGTGACGGGTACGGACAAGCTGAAATTATTTAAAAAGTTGACTACATCCAAGGGAATGTTGACTGTCTATGTTGGTGATTCCGATACCGATCTTCCGTGTCTATGTGAGTATTAGTATGAGAGTATTGTTGCCTAAATTGGGTGTTTATATATATGAGACGACCGAAGCAGTCATGTGCATATTTAATAATTCTTTGCATCTACCAATCTAACTCACTACAGTGGCAGCTGATGTGGGCATCGTGATGGGAAACAACTACTCTCTAAAGAAGAATTGTGAAAGAATTGGAATTGAACTTGTCGATGGTTTGAGCCGTGTGACTGCAGCTACAAACGATAAAAGAGAATTATATAAAGTGAAAGATTGGTTTGAAATAAAGGAGAGCGGGTTATTGAGATAAAAATCCGCGCGCCAGCAGCTATATGAGTTAGTTAATGTCGAGGAACCTTTCACAATTATATGTATACGTATATTTTCTCGCTTTCCCATTTTCTGTGTGCCATATGATAATAAGTGTTTATATACTGCGGATAAAATTCATAATACAGATTCTACGTCATACATACAAATAATGCTAACTCGAGACAAGTTAACACTTTGATCACGGAAGAAACAACTTAGTCTCTAACTCATTATCCTTACTATCAATTAAAGTTGATACATTCTCCCCTTTGCTAAATTGTAAAGTCTTTTTGAATAGAATGTCAAGAATACTAGAATAAAGGAGAATAAACATCATAGCGAGATAGAAGAAAAAAAAGCGGAATCCATCGTCCAATTTAATAGACAATCTTCCCAATGTCTTACGTATATATAAAAACAAGAAGTTAATAGTTCGCAGAGGAAAGGAAAAAAAAAAAAAAAAAAGAAAAGTCCATTCACATAAAAGATTTACTCAGCCATCAATGCTGAAATATATCATCAATAAGCTATATAAACGATCAATAATAAGTAATCAAGACAGCTCTGCTCTAAACAAAATCACTGTCACAGTTTTTGAACGTCCTTGCTGTACCAACAATCTCAATCTTAATTGTCCTCCTCACTATTCTCCATAATCATTGTATTCGCAGTCGTGCTTATTCTCTCGTTTTCCCCTTCTCTTATCCCTGCATTATTATTGCCATTCCCACTTATGCCAATATTTCCAATGTTCGTGTTGGGGCTAGTACCAGCGATGGCTGGTAAGTTAGCGTATGGATTACCAGTGACTGGTCCAGGACTAGTAGGTCCAATTAACGGTGCAATGCCATCTTTTCGCATTTCCACTTGACGTTTGTCGTAGAATTCAAAGTCATCAAGAATGGATGTCTTGCTACGATATTCAAAAAATATCTTTAACATTTCGCGGCCAGGATCCGGATAAAGCTCTTGCGTATCTCGACTATTAGTTACCGGCTTATTTTCGTTGTTGCTGTACAAATTGAGATAAGATAATTCAAGAGACGAGTAATAGAATATCGGTTTAGTAAATGTCAATTAGACAAACAATAGCAATATGTAATAATTAATTAGATTAGACATTATACAAGTACGTTTACACTCACACAACTCGAATATGTCTTAATTGGCCGTTAGGAATATCTTTGACAAATATCCATTTGACTTTAAATACGCCCTTCCATTTGTCTTGTGCCCATACGCTGCTGCTAGTAGTATAATCGACATGTGTAAGCATCTGAGCCATGCCGCAAAAGTGTCCACTGTTACAAGAGATAGTAGTATTAGCGAACGCTACTGTTATATAATCTGTCTTACAACTGCTTCTCCTCTTACCTGGCGTTGACACTGAAGAAAAGATATATTGGCCCTTTGTCAGCACTTTCTCGGAACGCTTTATCTAAGCGACGGTTACCAATCTCTGTACTTGCCCATATGTCGTACTGGATGGATGAACTCAACGTCAGAAAACCCTAGCTAGTTTGACGCATTGGTGCTCACCTTCCAACTCACCTTCAATGATTTGTGGACATCATCTTCGGTATATGACTTAATGACAAAATACCTCGCCTACACAAGAAGTAACAAACTAATTAGTCACTACATACTACAACCTGTACTGCTACAATAATCAATATCTTAATTCTGCAATGTATCTAACATTCTACTATTCTTCTAAACTCATAATATCTAACTCATCCATGAAATTCATACATGTGCAGGCTTGATATTGAATGTCTTCGGATTATATCCTTTAGCAGTAATCCACCCTATTAACTCCTTCTTGCTACTACTCGCAGGTGGCGGAGGAGGTATATTCAATGGCCCAACAGCACCTTGCGTTATTGCACTTGATGCTGCTGTAGGGCCAAACATGGCCCCAATACCATTACCTGGAGTACCAGCAATTTTAGCTTTTCCGGTCCACGCAGTAGTGGGAGCACTCAATGGTCGTGTGGCATAGGCATTACTGGGAGAAATCGTTGGATTAGGAGAAATGGCAGCAGAATACGCTCCAGTAACACTGCCAAGCACCTCTGGTGAGGTATTGACTGGCGGTGGCTTTGGCGCCGTCTTCGCTATGGCTGCCCATGAAAGCTTTGCTTGTTGCTTTGGAACATTATTCGATGCTGCCGCTAGTTGCACAGATTGCAGGTCATTTCCTGCTACTTTTGACATGTCTGGACCTATTCCTGATGAAGCACTGGCAAGTGACATACTGTTTAAAGTGTTTGATAAATCGGCGACATTCACGTCGACTAAAGTAAGTGCTTGATTGTTACCAGTAGTCAAGTCTTGACTAATTAAAATGTTCTGATTAGCAGCTACGCTTGCCAATGTTGGAGACGTTAAACCAAGGGTTGGATTCAAGACCGGGTTGAGAAATTCCATATGATCTGCATTCAATGGGGGAGACGACAATATTCCAGTCGGATGAGGTGAAGTAGGGCTGCGATACCCTTCTAATCCTGGGGGAGCAACTAATTTCGGGGCCTGCAAACCACGAATGTCAAGTTTAAGAGGAAAGTCTTTTCTATCTTGATTAGGAATATATTTACTAGGATCACGATGTGTGGCCATGATTTCGTCAATATCTGATTTATCGTATAATGCCATACTGCCTTTGACTTCATCATCATCTACTGCGTCGTCACTTACGTCTACTCTACGACGCTGGGAGCCATCAGAAGCAACAGATGTGCTCCATGAAGGAAGACGGAATGTGGAAGATTGATCTGGTAGGGATTGCGGCTGCAACTGTTGCTGTTGAGAAGACTGCTGAGACGGTTGTGATAAAGGTTGTTGATTTTGTTGCAATTGATCATCTTGTTGAGGTTGTTGCCTGTCTTGCGATTGCGGTTGAGAGTGTATATGCTGCTGCTGCTGTTGCTGCTGTTGCTGCTGTGCCTGTTGCTGTGCTTGCTGTGCCTGTTGCGCTTGTGCCTGCGCTTGTACATGTGCTTGCTGTGCCTGTGCTTGAGCTTGAGCTTGCTGTGCCTGTGCTTGAGCTTGAGCTTGAGCTTGAGCTTGTGCTTGTGCTTGTGCTTGTGCTTGTGCTTGAGCTTGAGCTTGAGCTTGAGCCTGTGCTTGTGCCTGTGCCTGTGCCTGTGCCTGTGCCTGTGCCTGTGCCTGTGCCTGTGCTTGAGCTTGAGCCTGTGCTTGTGCCTGCGCCTGTGCCTGTGCTTGTGCCTGTGCTTGTACTTGTGCCTGTGCTTGAGCTTGGGCTTGAGCTTGCTGTGCTTGTTGCGCTTGTTGTATCTGTTGCCGTTGCTGTGCCTGTTGTTGCTGTTTTTGTTGTTGCTGTTGCTGTTGTTGTCGTTGCTGCTGTTGCTGTTGTTGCTGTTGTTGTTGTTGCTGCTGCTGTGCCTGTTGTTGTACTTGTTGTGCCTGCTGTTGCTGTGCCTGTATCTGCTGTTGCTGTGTCTGTTGCTGTTGTAATGCATTCCCAATTGATCGATATTGATAATGGATATGTTGTGATTGTGGATAATAATTGGTAGGCGACGATGGTGTTATTGAATTTATAGAGGATGCGGGTTCAAAATAGTCTAGCGGTCCTCCTAAACCGTGTTCGAATTTCATATGGCTTGTTTCATCATGCATAACCCCATTATTTTGATTATTGTTCGTAGATGGTCTTACAGGTCTATATATGGTATTATTATATCTTGGAAACTGCTCATGCTGCAATTGAGGAAAATAACTGCTATTATCACTCAATTGATGCGATTGAGCTGGAGAAAATGTCCATGGTCCACTTGGAGAAGTAGATAAAACTACAGAATAATTATTGAGCTCAGTTTGAGTAGGCATCGTATTTCCCCTCTTGGGGTAGACAACAGGTTCCTACAAATAAAGATTGAACGGTAAATAAAGATGAATGAAAATATACAATTATAACAAACTAGTTATTTCTCCCTTTATGGTTAAGTCAAAGCATACGTTTGATGATTCCTCTGGACCTGCTGTCCTAGTCACTTTATCCCAGTCATGATCTGCGCTGCCTTCTGGCAATGTAGAAATGGGACTCTGTAAGTCGAAGGCTACAAGTGTCAACAAAAATGTGTCAAACGACGATGATAAATATATATTCATCGTTCGATAGTTGTTATTTTATTAGAACTGCTTTCAATTATCCATTACCTCCGATTCCAGTAGGAGTTTTTGTAATACGTGGAGGCGGGGATGTAGCAAGAAAAGGATGCCAAGAACTCCCATTATATCCATCGTCTCCACGAGTGCTTTGCGGCATCACCGGAATACTATTACTCCTCGTAAACGAGGTATTCACAGTCATGGGCACGTTTGCTGATCCATTACTAAACGGCATACGAGTATTAAAATCACCATTTGCGCTGGTAGGCGAGACAATGCCATTATTAACACCAGTGAATCCAGGAGGCATTTTCACTGAAGGTTGCTTAATCATTGCAATAGGAATCTGATTTGCATTACTATTAACAACGTTCGCGCCACCAGCATTGGCAAATCCACTCAACCCGCCATATCCAACATTCATTCCAGCACTTCGCTGTGCCAAACCATCTCCAGCAACTCCAACACCATTCATCGGATTTCTGCCAATTGTATGAGCATTTGCCCACTCTTTCCCACTTTGATAATATTGCTGTCCGTTGTTATCTCCGTGAGTATTAAGGGAACGAGAATCATTAATGCCAGTAACGGATGAAAAGTCCATTTGTTTAGGAAATAACCCAAAGCTGGGGGTGGGGCAAAAGGTAGCACTTTAGGGGAAAGGGTACTGTCGTCGTTCGTCAGCACTCGTTATTTAGAATTAATGGGCGGTAAACTACGAGTTTCTATATCAGAAGAGGAGAAAAAAATTGAATAGAGAGTGAGTAAAATTGCCGATTTAGTACTGTTAATTAAAAACCAAGATTAGAAACTGTTTGTGATAAAAAAGTAATTCTAATTGAAATAATTATGGTAATTAAAAATTAGCGTTATTGTGATACTGGTTGATAAAAGTAAAAAGAACAGCTGTCAATGCGATAGCTTATAATGCTCTGCTGGTGCGTTCTGTGCTTTGCTTTTTATAAACAAAAACTTGTGGCTAACTGTTTTCCCACCCGGATAACGAAGTAACAGCCTAATTAATTTACTGGAATAGTTGTCGCAATCGCTTTAAAGAGTCGTTATCAACAGGTAATGTGTGTAACGGATCTAATGAATTCTGTTGACTCTGGTTGCTTATTGCCAGCTGCGTATACGATTTCGATCTATATTCTACGTCGAGAAGATGATGACAAGTCCATTTGTGGTGTTGTATCGTAACCCAGGTGAACACCCCAGCGATAATAGTCGCCTGCCGGTAGTATCGAGTCTTCTTGCTTTTAGTCAGACAGGCTAGGGTTAAGAATGCTGTTTCTTGCCTCTATTCAGGATGTTACTTTGTTATTGGGTGTGAATTCCTATAGAGCCCACCGCAGAGCACTGCTATATATGCCAATAGGTCATGTTTTGATATAGAAATGAGGGAACACTTACGTTCTCTCTGCGCCTAAGGGCGAAGAAACGACGAGTGAAATTGGGATGTGAATTGGTTAGAGATCAGAATGGGTTTTTTTAGTTTCCGTTATGACAGGGATGTGTACAACAAAGCAGCACTTTTGTGAAGGGGGTTGGGGGGCGGATGATGAATCAGTCCGGCAAGTGGATATGCCATTTAGAGTAATTTATTTTTACGAATTAATAGCGAATTTATTAAATACACAATAGTGTTAATAATATTTACCTAGCAATATCCTAATCCATTGCTTAGTTTGTAACGGTTGCAAAAGTTGCACGGTTGATTTCTAACTATTCACGTGATGCATTCAAATGCGTTAACATGTGTTTGAAAAAAGCCTGGATTTCCCGTTTTGTTTAAAGATTTGAGCCCTGGATCATTAAGAACAAAAAACACGCCTTGGTAATGTACGTAATTATAATCACTGTAACCGCCATGTAATCTATAACTCTGAGAATCTGCCACTTTGCGTTGTAATTGTCGCAATTTGTTAAATTGATTTGGGATAATCATAACGAGATAAATGCACACTTGACACAACATTTTTTAGCAACCACATCCTTAACGCCATTGTAATGATGCACTGCATTTGATTATTCTAATCGTGAAATGAGATGAATAGTCAAACTAACATTTTAAGCAAGATTAATATATAACGAGACCTTGCAAAAGATTAAATGTATGCATACAGGTATCTTTTTATATGCTCACCAGGAAACTAATTTTATCTTTCAACTTTAAATGATACGCACAAGTTTGGATTGCAATTTATTGGTAAAGTACAATTTTCGGCCGAGAATATATATTTATTTCCAACGGACAAATATCACGGTATTATGAATAACAGCAGAAATTTATGAATAGTCAATAAAATTTAATGGATTATCTACGTAAGATATGCAGTTTTTTAACTACGTTGTTTACAAGAGACCTAGTTCATGTAAGCTGACCATCATCGTAGGAATACTATCGCCAATTATCTTACTATTAATCGATCATTACTCACACACAGATTTTGACGGCATTGTTGAGCCATACTTTACTATATATGATGTTCACTGTATTGTTCCAAACTTGCCGATGAAGCAACGGCTCATAATGAACAAAGTGATTAGTTATATTACTAAAATCCGTATATAATAAAGTTAGAGAGGTTAGAATTGGACTTATAAGGCTTGTAACAGCCTAGCAGTTCTTTTTGCAGCAATCCAACACACTGTGTTCAAAACTTGCTTCTGTCGATCCAAACCGTATTTCCATGGCCAAAACGAGTTTCTTACTCGCTTCTGTTTTTACGTTATGAGCAATGCAATTACTCCTCGACAGGCAATACTTGTAAATCAAAGAATAACGAGTTTGTTCAAAGTAGGATACGACACACATGCAAGAGTACCAAAATAGTGGTTATTCAAAATAAGGTTACAATTGTAAGTAGAAATGAATACTGTAATATTTACTTTGCCTGGCGCTCTCCAACCGACTACGTGAGTAGTATTCAAAGTGTGAAAAGAAAAGGCGAGGCTAATGTTGTCTACTTCTAATTCCTTTTATTCATTTTCGGGAATGAAAGTGCTAAACTCTGTTGTATCAAAAATCAAATTTATTAAGCCATAATGTAAAGTGTTAATTAATATTTAAGACTAAAACTGGTGTGGTGGTGGAAGACTTTCCGGTGCAGTAAGAACATTGATGCCGCAAAAATTAAAGTTGCTTTTTATTTAATAAAGATACTTGGCATTCAAAATATTTGTTACTTTAATTTGTGTTCTCCTCATTGTTATCATTGTTAAATCTGCAAACTTAAATAAGACGATCTTCAAACAATAAAAAACGCACGCTAAATGCTCTTTGGCTTCTTGTATTTGGCCATGCAAATAGGCTGTGTCTTTGAAATAAACAGGTTAAATTGTGTCAATATGCGCAATCGAATATTCCAAGTTGCCGAGTTCAGGTTGTTGTGTCATTCTCTACAAACAATAAGATTTGCATGTTGGCACAAGTGACAAACTTTAGTCGCCATTCTGCCAACACTACAAACAGAAGCTGTGTAGATATGATATGCTTGACATATTAATATATTATACCTCTGTGAGATACTATTTGCATTGTGTATATCCAATACATAAATACGCTGGGTATGCATGTATTAGTATGTGCACACAATAGCCATATAACACACAGCCTTGCAATAGCGTCTGATTATCCGGTGCCATATCGTTATAGCTTGAATCGGATAATTAATAATCATAAATATACGTTATTTATTTATTTATTATTACTATCATTATTAATTGTTTATTTATTTGTTTGTAAGTTATTTATACAATTATTTTATATTACTTCTTTATTCACCCGTCCAGTGATCTAGTATTTATTGTTTTAATGATTCCCAAGATTATTATATACTCAAATTCGGGAGACGGAGTGTGTGTAACTGTATCAAATTTCAAGGAAACAAAAAATTTCGGTATATTGCCAGTGGTTCAAAGTCACATGCTACTTCAATTTGTGGAAGAAACTTGAATTTAGTTTTTACATCATTTATTTTGACTAATTCCTAGTCGGATGGTCAACTGTGGCTAAAAACAGTCAGCTATAATCAATCGGTTGGCATAATTATGTTACATAACTAAGGCCCATCAAGCAATGCCCGCAAAGACTTGTATATGCTTCAGATACGGATGTTATTACGATTTTACCAAATTCTTCCGCTTTAGATAACTAAACCTAGCATGCGCCCGGCTCATCATCTTTCGAACTGTTTTACTATTAATTTTTCTTTTTCGTTTATGAGACATCTGTATGCTATTGTGTACTAGCTGAAATGCCTAAGTTTAGATGCTTTGGAAGCAGAAAGCAACATAAGTTTTAACTAATATCTGTGTTATAATATATAACACATAAAGCGCAAACACACAATTTACAAGCACTTTATACACTTTATAACTAAGCAACGAGGCTATGAATACTAATAAACGTGTCTTTGCGTGTCAAGACGTGTCAGGAAAAAGATAGTTGGCCAATTATATTCAACCTTTCTCAACGATATATCGATCAAAAATTATGTGTTGGCTGAAATGCTGTATTTGAATTACGTGTATTTTATCGATAAAATCAACCCTGATTGGGAATTGTATAATAAAGCTTAAGGCAACACTTCTTGAAGAGCCATCTTCGTTATACAAATGAGTTGTTGTTTTGTCATCGCCTGGAATAACTGTCTTGAATTTTATATAGAACAAAAAGGTTGCCAATTTCATAATGTCGATTACGTACCCACGCAACAATTTTCATACATAGTAAAGCATTCGGCGAGCTTGAGGCTACTTGAACTAGCTTTATAGCAAGCAGCAGCTCACACAGCACCGATAAAGTCGCTTGAGCAAAGTCCAACTCTATTATTACCGCTTTAGTTTATACATTTTGGAAAACGCTTCCAGAGTATGAAGCATGTGCGGGCATTTGCTAGTATTGTCATCTTAAGTTGATATTCTAATAACAATTTAAAAAAATGGTAATTCAACCATACTGATTAATTTAATTCCAGGACAATTATGATATACAATGCGGACTGTTTTAAGGTAAGCGCTAATTGATAGGATATTAGAATTAAATTTATAGTCTAGAAGTTGATTGAAACTACACGTAAATTGCAAGACGTGTCTTTCACGCTATCGTCTTCCTGTATTAGCCACGTTCGTGATATTGTGGAGTTTGCATCTTTTTTCTACGTACGCATCGGAATAGTTGGTTTAAAAAAGACACAATGATGACAATACGGCGTTGGTTCATTATATGTATTTTTCGCATTTTGGTCAGCATGTCTACAATGGAAGTGCTGCTGCTAACCAATGAATTAGTGAAGCGTCTTTATTTGACTGATCATAGAAACAAGAACAAATATAACTCTATGTAAAGTTGGGGTTTTTGCAACTTTGATATTATGACTTTTTATAAAGCTTCCTTTTTTCTTATTGTCGTCAGGATATTTAAATGATGAGTTATTTAACGCCAGTGCTTTATTATTTTATTATCCCTACTTCTCACCTAATTTAACTCTGGACTATCATTACTAGTATAATACCGAATTTTCCGCTGGTGTGATTGAACCGCTCTGTTTGATGATTTAAACAACTGAGCACATATCGCTGTCTAATTTTTATCGACCTTTTTGTAATCGTATCTTCTGTATAGAAACTTGTCATCCTAACTTTGTCTTTTGACCCAATCGAATTTTGAACTTGAAGTGCCGTTGCAAGGAAAGTTTGCTACGCGCCGATCGATACACTTTATTTCCGTTGCAAACATGTGTTCACTGTTGCAAACAACGTTTCTAACATTCTCGATTTGTAAAGATGGAGGTTGCAAATCATCATAGCACTATACATTGAAGGTGCTTGAATATCATCAGTGTTACCTATTTGAACCATTTCATATAACCTTTCGATCGCATATGGATTACGAAACCTTCTATCTCGAACATTGTCTGTATATTATATATTAAATGTATCTATGATATTATAGTGTTCTTTTTACTCCTTGAGATGAAATCAATACATGGAGTGACTATTTGCAATGTCTAAAAAAATAATACATAATGCTGCAGGATGAATGAAAAGAAAGAGTAACGAAGCAGGCATTGAACGTTTAGGATATTGTAACATGAAGTCATTCAATCATGTATAATACCTTACCTATACATGTAATTATATCATACAACACTATTACTACATATTCTATTATCAGCAATAAATTAAATTAACAGCAGAATATATCAATCCACAGTCCTAATAAATGAATCACATATCAATCACATAACCCTTTCTCTTTCTCTCTCTCTTTCTCTCTCTCTTTCTCTCTATCCTTTCCAAATACTTAATCGTCAAACCTGACAAAAATGTCCGTCAAATGCTCTACATCTTTGCTATACCCGCCAATTACATCCAACACCCTCAGCCCGCCAACCCGTTGTAATCCAGGCGCAAGAGGAAAAAATTCCATGTCAAACTGTACGACTCCATTCGGACTCAACTCTCCCAAATACTTGCTGCTCGCACCTGCCAATAATATGGCCCCCATTTTATTCTTTACTGCTGTCACAACAATCTTCAATAGCGACGTTGTTCTATTGCGAACTTTACACGAAATCGTAAACGGTGACTCTAATCGTACAACATCAGGAACGGATACGACAGAAAGATCAATATCTTCCAGAAGCAAGGGTTTCCGCGTGAGTTGACTAGTCTGAAGACGTCCTGTTTCCCCAAAGGAAGAGCGCCAGATTATGTCAAGTTTGCCCAGTGCATTGGTTGTGCGGGCAATACGGTCGTCAGCACTAGGTTTGGGAGTAAGCATGTAGAGATATTGACGGATGTCTTGGGGGTTGAGATAATTATAGGCACCGAAAATGCTCTTTTTGCTAATACTGTCATTACCGGCAGATATCGAACTACTCGACACAGTTCCTACAACATTTGCAGTGTCCTTTTTATCTTCAGCATCAGTAGTATTTCCTACATCCAATAAAATGTCCTTTGTATCCCCACGCCTAGTTTCGCTCTCACTCTCGCATTCTTCCACAACATGATTCAGATCATTATACGTAAAAATATCTCCAGGTTCAAACTTCATTCTCTCCAAATACATAACCCTCTCCGCCACATTGTGCACCTGCACTTCGAGAAACACCTTCCCGTCAGCCATATTGTTGACCTTTGTCTTAACAGCCAATGGATTCATAACCTGAAACTTGTAATATTTTCTAAAAGACTTTTTCTCCTTTTCCTCGGTCATATAGCCGACCGTACAAACAAGAGTATGTACTCCAAGTTCTTTGATCTCATGTTGAGCTACGAATTCGCTTGCTTTACTTGACTCGAGAGTAGCTAGCGGTTTATCAATAGTGTCGATTAGAACAAAGCGTTGAGCGGAAGTTTGAAGTTCTGCTCGTACGGATACATTATAGGCGTATTGAGTAGAATCATTGTTGATGCATAAATAAAAATCGAATGTTTCCCCCAGGTAGATAATGCCGAAAGAGGATGGAATCGAGAGTAATGAGGATACCCCGAGATCACGCAAAGGTATTTTCTGGGTAGGAGCTGCCTGTTTTGCTATTAATTCAGTTGAGGCGAGGGATTCGAGTGCATTCGATATCATAGAAGAATTCTCGTAAAATACTGGATGAGTTTGGCCTAATGTAGGTTTAGATAAGCGCATTACTTTGAGTGATAGAATGTGTTCGCGTTGTGAATCCTGGGGATTGGGATAGGCTGTTTGGGCAGACATTGTGAAGCGGTGGGGAAATGGAAGAAAAATTGACGTATGTAAATATATTATAAATGTACAAGATGATCAACATCTGATTCAACTTTTTTTCTTTTTACTTTTTTACAATACAATACTAGTCTTAATACGAAAGTATGGGTATTCTCGAAAAAATAGCAGAGATCGAGAAGGAAATCTCTCGGACTCAAAAGAATAAAGGTATTGTTGTTCCTTCAAAAATCAATGATAATTCTTGTTCTTAAAAGTATGAGAAAATTCACAAATATGCTCCCTGGACGTTAATAAGCAACCGAACATCATTTGGGCTTGTTAAAGGCCAAATTAGCACAGTACAGAGTTCAATTACTTGAACCACCAAAAGGGAGCTCTAAGGTACTGAGGATAAGCACTATTGGTTGTTGCGAGTCTTAGGTTAATTATCCTCTTTTTTTTTTTTTCTACAACTAATAGACGTGTATGTTCACGCTTTATAACGCTTGTGTGTTTTTTTGCTTCACCTCCTCTACAACTTCCAATTGATATCATTTTCGTATAGTCGGGCGAGGGTTTCGATGTAATGAAATCGGGGGATGCACGAGTAGTCTTAATAGGCTTTCCATCAGTTGGTAAATCGACACTGTTAAATAAACTGACGAAAACTCATTCAGAAGCTGGAGCGTATGAATTTACAACTTTGACCTGTATTCCTGGGAAAATTGAATACAATGGAGCGAATATTCAGTTACTTGATCTTCCTGGGATTATTGAAGGAGCAGCACAGGGTATGGATTGTATGAGGTTGGGAGGTAATAATGACACACCGTGCTGATTCTAAATTTGTCTATGGAATAGGGAAGGGACGTGGTCGGCAGGTAGTTGCTGTTGCTAAGACTGCGGATTTAGTTCTTATGTTATTGGACGCAACAAAGTCCCATCAACAGAGGCATGTCGTCTGAACGTGATTGATAAGCGTATGTTAAACAATGGATATTAACTTTACATATTTTGACATGGTAATTGCTTAGGGCTCTGTTAGAGAAGGAATTAGAGACAGTCGGTATAAGGCTGAATAAAGCCAAGCCAAATGTGTACTTCAAAGTAAGTATAGACTTATGTTACATTTGCGTATAGAGCCTTATCTCTCGCCTTGTTTCCACTCGCTATCTATTGTGGCATTTTATCACTGCTTGACAACTTCAACTTATCACACTTTCCACTTCAAATCCGTAGGTTAAGAAAGGTGGTGGAATAAGCTTTGTTTCGACTTTCAAGCTAACCCATTTGAGCGAGAAATTAGTCTATCAAATTCTTCACGGTTATAAAATATTCAATGCCGAAGTTTTGATACGCGAAGATATTACTGTGGATGAGTTCATTGATGTAGTGCTAGGAAACAGGATGTATGTTAAATGCCTATATGTAAGTCACATTTATCGTTAAAAAGATGGCTTTAAATTCTCAGAGGTCCCATAAACGACGCGCCTATAACACATTGATTTTGTAGTGTTATAACAAGATCGATTCGATAACTGTAGAAGAATTGGATAAAATTGCACGAGAACCGAACACTGTTGTAATTAGGCATGTGGAATAAAAGTATTGCTAATATAATTATACTGGTTTATGATATTAAGACTATTTTACTATTTTAGCTGTGAACTGGATTTAAATCTTCGGTATCTATTGGATCAGGTATGGAAATATCTTGACTTGATACGTATATATACGAAGCGAAGAGGAGGTAAATCTCGTGATGATTATTTTTGCCTTTATATTACCTTGCTTGTGGATTATGATTATAACGTACATTTTAAATGCTTGTAGAGTTTCCCGATTTAGAAGGAGGTCTTATTATGAGGAATGGTGCGAATGTTGAACATGTGGTATGTAGTATACGAATATATGTTAATGATATACACGCTTATAGTCGACGCCGGCATCAGGAATATTTACGTTCTTGTATGGATTCGTGGTTTACTTTGTTATAGTGCCATGCTATTCACAGATCGCTCGCGCATGAGTTCCGTTATGCTCTCGTTTGGGTATGTTTAACCTTTAGTGTAAATCATGATTTGCGATTATTATTTTTATTATTTTACGCGAGTATTGAGATTGTTCGTAATGGGTTAAAAGGGAAGGTCAGCCAAACATAATCCACAACGCGTTGGATTAGCACACGTAATGGAGAACGAAGACGTAATTCAAGGTAATTATACACACGCAGATATACGTAACAACCAAGTTGACTTGCTCTAAAATTTCTTGCTTTTACAGTTGTCAAGAAAAAATAAGTAGCGTATAGGATTATCTAACAATACAAAGGTCACGCTACAACAAACCAGGCGGAATGAAAAGGATTCAAAACTTAATTTATAATATTAAAAACGTATTAAACATCTTTCTATTCATATCTGGGATGGCGTCACCGACTTTTATTGTCATAGATGGATAGGAACTGGCTGTCAAATGCTTACAAGTTGATTATCATGAATATAGTATGCAATACTAGCCGTCCGTGATGCAATCACCTTTGACTTTCAAGTGAATTGTTTACTGAACACTGCGTAAAATGAACGAGATGATATTAATATTGTGGGAGTTGTAATAAAGACCTCCGGATCAGAAGACGGTTTCAAATGCATTATGACATTTTTCCTATACTAATACTATTTGTTATTGTAAAGCTATAACCGCATGGAAGCTTAATTTAACACTGTATTTCAATTTATTTGTTTATTATTTTTACTTGGACACTTTATAATTTATTTAATTGCTACCAACCAGAAAACTTTGTTACATTAAACTCCTGGAATTAATCTTTATGGGACCCATAAAAGCAAACTGGAACAGAGAAGCTATCCATTCTAACTTACCAATCGCTTTACAGAGGTTGGCCTTGAACTTTTATGATGCCATAATCCTCCCCCATTTGAAACACAACACGTTAATATTAAGGCTTAAATGAGAGAATTATTGAAACAAACAAACAGTATCAAACTTCCATTGATGCTTTGCAATTTCAACCTGTTTACACTATACACGACACGTAAGCAAAGAATTGTCTGGACAATATTGACTTGTCAAAATCAGAACCATGTATTCCCAAGTAGAGTTATTATAAATAATCACAAATGAACTACTATTATTAATATAATGATATCTTTGCAACTACTGATAATGTAGGCGTGTTACATCAAAGCAGATAACTCTCTTGCCGTCGAATTTTAATTGATCAACTTACAAGTAAACACGAAAGCTACTTTCGTCTATGATGACATATTGAATACGTTCTTTCATAAAGATCAGAAAACTACCATGCTTGCTTGGAACTAGATTTGATCAGACATTAAAATCTGTTCTCTGACATTTTTCTTTCCAACTTCAATATGCAATACTCTATTCTTCAATTATCTTATGTTATGAACGCATTCGTCATTTGTAAGACAAAAACAATAAAAATGCTGGATATAGTACAATACTGGAATAAAATAAGAAATCATATACATTCTGGGATTGTCCTTCAACAGATGTTGTTACGGAAATATCAGTTTCATATATTCCATGTTCGTCGTAATGGAAACTGTCTATATCATCATTCTCGCTTCAAAAGTCGGGTCATCCAAGAAGTCATGTCTTCATACGAAAAAGCCTGTCGAGAATCATTAAATTTAACCACAGGAAAAGAAATTAATAACCAATACGAAAATCTCTTTTTCAAAAATTTCAACAATACATTCCCACGCTCGTGTTTTCTTCTTGCACTTACCAATTCGTCAAGTGCATCTACGATCCACTCGTTCAACGCGAATCCCCATGCCAATGTTCCCAGAGTTGCTATGACCAATATAAACAATATCAGCTTCTTGCCCACCCCTTTCTTTCCGATTTGTTTAGTATTAGCCTCCTCCTTTATGATCGCATCTTGATTGCCGAACGTGTAATCGACATCACGGAATTCCAATTCCGATGTTAGATCTGGATCCCCTACGTTCCGAACTACCGGATATCTTTGGTTCACGTGAGAGAAAGTGGGTGGCGAAGACGAGCTCGACACTCCGACCGCTGGGCTAGTCTTAATTGAAGCCCCATCCTCATTTGTCGTATCATTATTTTTAACGCTACCCGTTGGGAAATATCTTGCCATATTCGTCTTTGTATTTACATCTTCATCATTCAGCTTGTGCATTGCCTCAAAAAGTAAATCCTTGGGCGGAGGAATTGGCACAAGCCTTCCTTTAGGTGTTGGTGAGTACGTCTCCTGGTTTTCTATTTCATCCCCGGTTCCGTCTCCCATTGAATCCCTGTTACTCCTTCCCCTCTTTTTCTTCTTCTTTTTAACACTACTGTCTCTACTTGTTCGTTTAAGTTCACTTTGTGCTTCTTGTATCTTTCTATCTCTCTCCTCAACCAAGCTCTTCCATTTAGGCGATCCTTTCAATCTGTCAAACTCATCGCACAATTGTATTTTCCGCTTCAGTTGCTTTACTCGGCCACTTTCGAGGCGCGTGAGAATTGATTGGATTTTTTTGATGGTAAGAGAAGAAATCTCGAATGACGGGTCAAGGAAAGAATATTCTTCATCAAACTCTAATGAGGTAGAAGCCATTCTAGTGGATATAAAGCGATAGAATAGAATAGATTCGGTAGCAAGCTAATAACTTTGTAAATATGGTATATGGTAACAGGATAAAGTTAAAGTGTGAGATAGTGAATAAGGTTTTTGTAGCACAGTGCCAATCAAGCTACCGTCGTCCAATGACGCTGGCTTTTAGAGTATTTAACTGATGTATTGTGTATGATATTGGCTCGGTATATCGCACTTATCAAAATCTCTTTTACTCGCTCGCTGAAGCTTTTTCTTTTTGATAATACAACTCTAGGCAACCAAAGTTTCACCAACAGCCGATTATTCGCCGATTTTTTCCGTTATGCCAGACTAATTACAACAAAGTTGTCTGAAAGCACTTGGCAAACGTTTGTGTTTGCTTTTCCCCCGCTTGTTAGAGTTTGTTTATTTTCATTTGTAAAAAAAAATTTCCACGTGATAACATAGTGACTGTGGTACCAGTAAACTATAGTTGGACTAGTACAACTCAAATCTCCACGTGAGTGACAAAGCAGGGAACATGAGGGGTCTTTAGTCTTCTCGATTTAGAACGTATTTAAACTTTGCATGTGCGGACGGACAACAAACCGACATATTAATATTAGTATGTATAAAATAAAAGCAAAAACGCACTGTGTTACATTTATTCTATGTATATTTTCCAAGACAAAGTAAACACTTTGAGTCTTCAAAAAGGAAAAGAAAAATAAACAAAGGGTGTTGGGTAAAAACGAAATTCTCAAAAACTCATACTTGAAATTCGGGAAACTAAAGAAGAAAAAACTAAAGGGAACAAAAAAAATAACAAAAAGACGAAAAATTCTGTAAACTCGCCTTTTTTCAAATGAATATTTAAAATAAAATATGATAAAAAAATGCAATGAAAAATTGTAATAAACAGTCATTGAAATAAACGAAACAAAATGTGCAATTTTAATGCATTATTTCAACCGCAAAAACTAAACATTATGTTATATTCAAAATCTACACTCTTTCTAATACAGTCTCCCACATAGCACCACCTTCACCAAACAGAGTCTGCTTCTTAGCTGGCTGAGCGACATATGCTCTTTCTCTTTCCGATTCAATCGCCTTATCTTCTTCGTTTCCATTTATCTCTCTTTCTAATCTTTTATCTCCTTCAATCATACTAGCTCTATAAGACTTTCTTTGACTTCGTGTTAAACTCTTTCCGCTCTCCCTCCTTGCCAACTCCGGGTTCCATGATTTTCTATTGGAATTCCTCATCGTTTCCTTTACTTCTCCTTTATCGGCATCTGGATTCGTTTCTCGTTGTTTGAGGGACGATAACAGCTTTGAGCGTCGTTGCTCGCGAGTGGTTGGAGAGCTTGGTAGGACGGATACGTCTGTGGATCGAGGAGATATATTGACAATCCATGATTTACGTGCTTCTCTTTTTTGTTCTATTCCATCAAGCCATTGTTTCCTCTGATCGCGTTGTTGTTCTAGTCCCTCCAACCATTGTTTTGTTTTGCTGTTTCTATTGCTTTCTCTCTCATTACCCCATTTCTTGACTGCGTTTTTTGGTAATCTGACACTGCTATGTCTTTCGACTTGAGTCTTGCGATCCCAGGTAGGTATATCTGCATCCTTTGAATTGTATGTAGCCTTGTTATGAGATTGTGTTGGGAATAGCAAATCACGGGCTGGGAGCATAGTGACGCCTTTTTCATTAACCGCAATTTTTCCATCTCTTGTGAGAGTTGAGTATGGCGAGATTGCTCTGCGCCTACGGCGGTTACGGTAAAAGCAGAGGGTCGAAATGAGAGCAAAAACGCTGATAACTGTGCCGACGACAAAGAAAATAAAGGATTGTTTGGACATGTTCAATGGATACGTGTGGGCCTTTCCTGATGCTGTGTGGCCATCACTATTATTACCGTTAGATTCTTGACATGTTGAATAAGTAATTAAGAAACACGTGACAATTAATAAAGTAGTTTTCATTTTGATAGAGTAGTTTGTCATCTGTTAATACATTTGCAGTTTGGAGAGTGTCGTAAAAAGTGCTCTGATCTGATATTTAGATTTAAATCGTTTCCTTTTCGTAGTGCCTTTGCTAATAATACTTTTGCCGTTCAATGTACATTTATATTCACTTAGGCGGCGAGAACGATAATCACTCTTATAGTAAACCCAGTATAAAAATCGATTCAGCCAGTTGTACTATAAACGCTGATGCTGCGTTGTGTTCTTGGGTTCTCAAGTCGGTGAGCGGATGAGATAAGAGCTCGGCCCTGCTGTTTGCACTATGGATACGGACGGTGAACAGGCAAAGGGTGGGATCTGTGTTGGAGCGGATAGATCATTTATATATGAGGGACAAATGACTGCATGAGTGTATTAATGGAATGAAACGAATAAATAAGGTAAATTGTAATTACATGGGGATAAGCGGGTATTTGGTAGTGTAATATGAGTGTAATATTAAGTTGAAGCTTGTACGGAAATTAATAATAATAATGACAAACAAAATATACAGCTGAAAATAGACGAAACGGGTGAGCGTGTGGTTGATTAAAATGGTAAATATACATGCAAGCAATATTGTATTAGCTAATCTGCAATGCACGCACCATTTATTACTCGAGATTAATATATTTGGTGTTTGTTCTATTTATATCCGGTATTGTATTTATTGTATTTATTGTATTTGTATTGTATTCATTTTATTATTTTTCGGATTCGGCATTAAAGAGCAAGTATGACTGCTATATAAAATCTCACTCGGGCATCGAACCAAATCCAACACATGCTCCTTATTTTCGTCCATGACGAAAGTTCATATATAGAATGATTGCGAATATATATTTGGCGTTAATTGTACCTTGTCTTTATCGTAACCGGATAGCTTGCTCAAACATGCAAGACGATAATTACCTGCAGCTAGTATTGGTGTGTTTCTCTATGTGGCATAAACCGACCAATTATCGCCCAAACTGTCAGTGTGATATGGGACATGTGTGATTTTAAGTACATTTGTTTGTTTGTTGGAAAGAACATGGGTGACGAACGGCTATTTCTTGATAGCGTCCGAGTGGAATAGGCTATTTGTAATGACTTGTCAGATTGTTCTGTTTGTGACAATTTGTGATTATGACAATTCAAGGTCATGAAGGTCATGAAGGTCATTGCAAACCACAGAGTGCTCGGGGTAAGCGCTGTGACGTCTGTCTTGCTTTATTCGTTCCCAGAACTTCACATGAATTCAAATATATAATAATTATTAATAGTAATATAATGCCGCAACCCGTGACTACTGTAATTTTATTCTTAGTAAAACAAATTAATTGGCTTATCATAACAACTACTCAATAACGCTTGGCTGTGCAACTGGTGAAACGACAGTGACTTGCAGGTTGATGTCCACAATTCGAGTATCCCAACATACATGCGCCACCTTTATTCTACAGGTATCCAAACCGTCATGATGCATCTACAATGATAAGTTTACCGCAGCCGACATGAATATGTAGGAGAAACTATATATAGTTAACCAACGTCATGGCTTATAGATGATTGAGACTGCAGCTACAATTAGATTTCGGCCATTCTCACTGAACTCGTAGCTGAACTAGATTTCTTTCACCGATTAGCCAACGGTTTTTAATTCGTTGACACAAAATGAATATTATTCTCACAAAAAACGTTATCTATATTAAGGTAGCATGGTTCAACCCATTTGTTAATCGATAATTAACAACCATGAAACAGAATTTTTGTGTTCTCTTCTTTGTGCTCTCTTTGTCGGCTATTCGGAATAAAAGATTTTTGGTCATTGGACCATATACTGACATATTACTGTCTTTATTAAGAACTCTCAAAATCTGTTTATCACATGAAGTCACGAAAGGAGAAACAAATTGCCTGGGTGTGCCGTGCTTTTGGTTTCGTTTCACGAATCCGATGGTTACTTCCAATTCGTAATAACGAAAACATTTCCCCCGTTTTTGTAACTGTCCCTTAACATTGTCCAGTTCCAGCAAATCCTAATGTGGAAAATGAAGAGTACCGCAGATATTTCCTGTGCTTGAGCGTATCACAGAGTGTTCATTTTTTTTTAGCTCCAGTTCCAGACAACCATACGAGCGCGGGCTCACAGGCTGCCTTGGATATAATGTTGTTTCGGAGTTTATCATAATTTAACTATGCGGTATATCGTAATCGTTATTAAAGAGTACTACTAAGCTCATCATAGTGTACACTCCTAATAAGGACGAAAATTTTAGGGCCTGATTATTGTTACTGTCAACAACAAGATACTCCAGCTTAAGTACAATTTTAACTCTTTAAATTCTAAAATTGCCGTTTAATTGCAGCAATTAATTAAAGCTTATGTCAATTCGGTGAACGATTTTATTAGTATATCTATTTGCTCGTGGCGATTTTTTAAGGCAAACAAAATAGAGGAAACCTCTTTTATTAATTACTAATATATTTGACTCTTGCGCTTAAGCGTTCTAAAAGTTCATTACACGGCAAAGCCTTATCAACCAAATTTTGTTTAGCCTCCGACTAAGCGAGTTCTTAACTCTCCATCCACGATAATAAGAGGTGATAAACTATGAAGATTTCCTATTTAATATTTTGCGAGATTGTCGTGCCAACTGATGCAAGAGAGTTGACCTTGAGATTTAGCTCGTTGCTTAGCCTTAACTCTGAGAAGCTTTCTCTTCAAACGTTATTCCCAGCTCACGTCAAATGGGTCTGGCTCAGATACTGTAAGTCTGGTTCACAAGGAAATCTAAATTCTCGTCCCCCTATTAAATTCCAATTTGGTTAGTGTGAATGCGCGCGCTTTCCAATTTTTAAAATAACCACAAATAAAATCCCATTGATACGACGAAGGAAGCAAATATTCTTATCGTTTGCCGTTTGGCTTTGGTTGTAGTGCATTAATCTTTCTCTTCGTTCTTCTATCCAAAAATTCTGTAATAAATGCTTCCTTAAAGTTTGCTTCTTAGTTGACACACTTGTTATCATGTTTGTAAGGTAATTGCTAGGGCTAAGCAAATTCTTGCTAACTTGTATACTTTTTAAACAAGTTAATTTAACAAACTAACTGATCAAATCTGCTGCTGTACGCAATGGTAGAAAAGCTACTAGTGGTCCTAATTGTGCTTGAACTGGGAATAGTAATAGAAATAGTAGAATAATGAGTCGATTGAATTTTTTCACTTTTTAGTTCTGATATCCGTCATATATCTTTCTCACTAAACTAGTGAAAGTCGGCTAAATATAAACAGTGAGGGTTATCCACGTGATATGGGGCATGCTGTAGACAAAATAAACATTCTATTATGTGATATAAATGAGATGCTGATGTGGCCAAAAGTTGACTAATCTGACTAGTAGCATTTATGCAGTAAACTTCCATTACTATCTAAAAATTATAATAGAATTACGTATATATATAAAAATATAAATATCAAATTAATTTATATCAAATTGACTATGGAACCTAAAAACTACAGCATAATTAGAAGCATTCTAAAGAAAGCTCAAGGAGAAAAAATTGCGCCTTGTTATTATGTTTTTAAAATCAATAATACCCAAACTCTCCAGAATTATCTAGATCAAGAAAAAATCACTTATTATGTTGTTACTGTCAAGACTTGATCAGCCACATATAGCAAGTCAAATTCTCTGCTGATATTGGTATTGTTCATGGAACTGTCAACCTGACATGCAGATTTATGTTTTGTCAATTATGTAATAGTAATGATGTTAGCTTTTTACAATGATTTTGATAAATGGCAAAGACAAATCTCATTAATGTCTCTACAACAGCATAATGATAACCAAACATATATTGAAGATTTCCAAAATAGATAGGGCTCCATTACCATGTCTGCAGTTTTGAGTGTAGCTCTTGCTCACACATTGAAAGATCTTCCACTGCCTCCTTTCAATACCAATACTAAATGCATCCAACATAACAAGTATGGCCTCTTTAAAGGTACTGTTGCTGTGGATTTGTCATATTTGTCATGATCAAAATGAAGAGTGATGTTGAAGGATGGAGAAGCAGTCTCACAGTCTCAATGGGGAACTTGACTAATGTGTCCCATGTGAAGTGTCTGGCAGCTTCTGAACCTGATGGTGATTGTGCTTTGATTGTATTTTCGAAAAGTAAAAGGTAACACAATTCTGGTGAAATGCTTTCTCAACTTGGTGCAACATGTGATCTAATGTGTACCAGATTAAGATCACTTGCTCCCTAATACTAATGCTAACTGAAATCAGTTTGGTTGGTGGCCTCTCATATCTCTTTGACAGCCCTGCAGTTCATTAATAGTGGGGAAGTTATGAAACTCTGGAAGGAAAGCTGCATAGTATTGTGGAAAGTCCAAGTTTCTATCTAATGCAAATATAAATTTCTTTATTATCAATATAACCATCATGTTGATTGAATCCAATTTCCCAACAGCAATTGTGTTATTACATAATTCTCTAAATTTTGTAACTGTATTATGTATCACCATCCCTACTTCTACTTCTATAAAGTAGAACAAGTTTATAAACATCATCTTTCTTCATAGTCCTTTGATTCTCTATCTCTTGAAGCTGCCTTGTTATTCCAAAATCTTGATGAGATCCATTCTACTTGCTTCTTGTTAATGATAAGTGAATCAACTTCACATCCTTGTCCCATTCTTAGTGGTAACATGCAAATGAGTATATCACAAGCCCATCTTTTGAGTTCCTCCTCTATTACTATATACTATGTGGATATCAATTAGTTTCCTATGTTGTATTAGATGTTACTTAGTTTAGCATACATGCCCGAAATATTATAGGTCACTTGAGGTTTAATTCAGTCTTAATTGTACCAACTATCGTAGTAAGGGTGATAGTGCAAGCTAAGCCTGGTAACATCCCCCAGTCAGCAAACACACCTATGCAAAAGATAAATCGCTCTCCCAGAACCCATTTCATTCCGCGTTTACATAAAGATCTCCATAATGGTTGCACTTCTTTTTTCAACTCGATGACTGCATGAATTCCGACTTTGGTCAAACTTCCTTTAACACAATCCTTGTCCACCAGGATAATGTCAGTTCCACCCCAGAGATCATATGGAATTAGTAGATTGTTATGTATATTGAGAAACTCTTTATTATTATCCTTGGCAACATCAAACATCATTATATCAGGAGGAAGTTTTGGAACGAGATGTTTGGCTCTATATTTGGCAAAGTTCCTTTATTATTATATTTCACCGATCTCGGTGTGGTTAAGAAATTGTTATTATTTTCTGCCGTCATGCGTTCGTATATTGTGTTGATTTTGTAATAGCATCCTCGGATAAAGAAGCTGAAAGCAACAAATGAGAACGTCAGTAACGGAAAATGAAAAAAAGCATTCCAGCCATAGTAAATAACGTTATCCCAATAAATTCTAAAGAAGTCCGTACAGTGATCGTTCAGTTCACAGCGGGATAAGGGAATGCACCATTCGTAGATGGAGTTGAGTAGGACGATTGACTTCCTCAACACGCCGTCGTGTTTAAGTTCCTCATAACAGGGATGAATGATTTGAACGTTGGAATAAAGGTTTATGCCTAAAGAAAACCGTAGTACTATGTTTTCTTTCAGATTGAGTTCATGATGGTCTAGTGGATTGATGACAAATAATGTAATTGTGAATAGGTATGAATGAAACTAGTTTTACTAGTATTCACACTATTCTATGTCCCCAACGCCCGAGGCCACTTCCAAAAAGATCTTAGATATGACTCTACTCTACGTCCTCAGCACGTCTAGTAATGCCTTCCAACTATTCTTGCGACTCTTGCACGACTCTTGCTCTGTCCCAACCCTAACATTCGAACTATTCTCCCACAATTGTTCCTGCTCTACTTAACTCGTATCTTGCTTATTTGTCTTTCAAACGAGTTTACTATAACCCAACCGCTGCTACGACTCTGCTCTATCCTATATTACGAACAAGCTTACCTGTCAGAAGCTGTGGTGGCGATGGCAAGTATGCCTCATACGTCTTGTTTGTATCAGCAAGTACACGCAGAGGCTGTGAATCGTTTCCATTCTCCTCTAGCACTAACGGTAAGATGCGACCGTCGTATTTGAGGCGCGTCGCATGAGGTCACTTCAAACCATATTGTCCGACTGTTGCCCCTGTGATTGATGTTTGAAACCTGAACGATTCAGCAGTATGAAACTTACGCAATGTTGGGAGATTTTGTGATTTGATTTTTCTAATAAATTTATTTTATCATTGTCTCTAATGCGGTAATTCTTACTCGAACAGTTATAAAATTTTGTCTCGATTATTAACCATAATAAAAGAGTAGCTATTTGTTTATGCTTCTATCTTACGTTTCTTTATTGGTTTGCCATAAGTTGGTGGTAATGTTCGTTTATTATTTACTATTTTTCGTTCTTCTTATAAATTTATAAGTGATTTTTTCTTGATCTAGATAGTTTGGGTATCATTGATTTCAAAAACATAAGGCGCAATTTTTTCTCCTTGAGCTTTCTGTAATTTTTTGGTTCCATAGCGGATTTGATGTAAATTAATTAGACATACTCTTATATGAAGCGTATTAGAAGTTTACTCAATAAAGTTATTAAACTGTAATTTACATAAGTTTGTATATACTAAATAAGATACAGCTGTGAGTAATCAACATGTCATTAGTCAAATTAGTTAACTTTCAGCTGCATCGCCCCATATAAGCTGACCATCGGTTCCTTTGTTCGACGTATTCTGCAAATTATCGTTATCATAACGCAAATCATGGAAGGGACGGTTTGACCCCTGTGATTATTTGAAGTTTTGACTGACCAATCGTAGCCGACCCCCCTCGACGTGCAATTAAGTTTGTTGAAATGCACCATCCATATAAAGGAGTAACAACGGCAAATCAGTGATTCTTTACACACTCTCGCTAACTTGCAAACGATAGCCAGTAATTACTTCCTCGCAAAAGCAAGACATTTATGCTATACCAAATAGAAATAGAGAAATAGCGAAAGCAAAAGTTCTTATTTATTTTAAACTTCGAAAGACAACAGCCCCTTTCTACAAAACCCAGAACTCAAACCCAAGTGCCATCCATGACCATAGACTCAATTGTAAACTCAAGTAGTGAACTAGGTAATGTATCTATACTTGTAAGAGTAAAACAGTGTCTACATTCATGCTGTTTTTAATGGTGTTATTTTTTGTCTTTGGAAGAACGGGCTGAAATTAAGAGATGGAGGAAAGGTTGTTGTTGGGTAGCGTAAAGTATTAAAGATTATTGGTGGGGGCCTGTAGGTCTTTGATATATGTTACAAGTATTGCATAGGCATGAATGTAAGGCTAACGCTGTTTTCTTTTGTTTATTTATACGCACGATACATATGTCGTCTTTTATTACACGCGCTGCACTCCAATTACACCATGAACAATCGTCGTAACCAATCCGATGCTGAAACCCATTAATTACATGACGATAATAATATTGTCAATCTGCCCAATCACACATCCTTACTATAAAAACTCATTTACAACCTTTAATCTGCGCAACTATTTGAATATTATTTACGACTCTTAACTTAACTCAACACTTAATAATACACATTCCTTTGCCCTCCTACTCACATATCGTTAATTCACACTACCATTTTTTGACATTTCCATCCACTATGAACGAAATATCCATCTTCCCTTATCCCAAAGAGGACCCAACAAAAGTACACCTGCGACAGCAAGTCGATTCTCTCCGGGCAGACTTGGCTGAGAAGAATGCTTTCATAGCCACAGTTCAAAAACATGTTAACCGACAACAGCCTGTTCCTCCTTCTATGGAATCTACGACTGGCCGCGTAATAGAACGGCTGCAGCTTGACATTGATTCGTTAAAAAAAGAACTGTCGGATTCTAAAAGCCAATTGCAAGTTGCAAGGGTAGCCCGCGAGCGTGCAGAAAGACAGGTACAAGAACACGCACAATCACATCAATCATTTCTATTGGAACTTGATTCACTCAAGAGGATATTGGAAAGAAAAGAAAGGCAGGTTAAAGAGTTGGAGCATTCGATAAAGGAAAGCGATCAAAAAAGTATGGATATGAAGTTCGATAGGGATAATGCAAATACAAAACTCAGACAGACTGAACTAAAAGTGTCGGATCTAGAGCGTAAAGTCCACGAGGCTCTTGCCGCAAAGGAACAAGCCGAGCACGAGTACTCCCTCTTAACAAAAGAAATGAAGTCCTTCAAACGACGCTATCAAGAAGATGTGGATATCGTCAAGAAAGAATTCGATGAACTGCGTGAACAATTAAAAACAACCTCTCATTCGCTCGAAGATACTATTCTTATGACTGGAATTCAAGTGGAAGAGTTAACAACGGGTAGAAAGACTGAGCTGTTGGAATTAGAGCAATTACAGGAGAAATTAAAAGAGAATCAAGAAAATTACGCAAAACAATTCTTGCTGGAAATTGAGAAAATGAAGACTGACGTTGAGAAGAATACACGGTCGACCGATGAATTTTACCAGGAAGTAGTTAAGATGAGAAGTGAAATTGTGGGCAAGTTGAATTGGTTTACAAAGGTCGCGAATGCTAAGCAAATTTAGCGAGAATTCGGTATTGATAAATGGGATGGATTGGATTGGATTGGATTGGATTGCGTGGGATGGGATTGGATTGGATTGCGTGGGATGAGAGAGATTGGACTTTTTGTTGTACCCATTATAGTGTGATCTATAAATAATGTAAAATTAAATTTCTTTAATAATTACTTTTCTCCAAGAGATAAGTCCATCTGGCTAAGTATCGCTAGATTGCGAAACAAAAAAGCCACAAGACCGAAGATCATGACCAGTCATATCTTTAGTATAATGACAAAATTTATTACGTCTATTGAATAAACGTTAATTCGATGAATAATATTAATATGGGAGAGCTTCTGAATAAAATCCAGATAATGAATTTTTGCTTTTTAAAAAAGAATGGGCTTTCGATAAAAGAGAAGTTACGGAGTGTGATATTAATATATCACGTGATTAAAAGCAGTTGTGAATTAGCGTTTATTATGAGCAGCAACTGGATAAGTTCCTAATAACAGATTGGTTTATTGTTGGATGGTCTTTCATGCAATTAATTTATCGTTTGGTGTAGGTTGAGAGTAAAAGTCGTACTCGACCATGAATTAATCATGACTGTCAGAATGGTGTGAATAAAATACTAATGCTGTGCATAACTTATCATACATCTCGAGGTTTCATGGTTATCAGACGCTTGCTAAATCGCATACTTATTGGTTACCATTTCAGGGATCAAATTGGAGGCATGTTCTATAAAATATTTACCGTAAGCGATTGATCCTGATCCTTTCGTTTCTGGGCAAAAGACTACAGGGAACTGAACGTCGAAATTCCTGATTGGTATGGGCTTCGATGAACCAATTTTAAATAAATTTATACTGTATATCGAGCGTGCGCTTAGCAACGTGATCACTTTGTAATATAGAATTGAGCATCCTTTATACTAAGAGACAAGTCAACGTTAACTTGATTAGAACACTCGCGTTTTTATTATCAACAAGACACACTCTGCGTAAAGTGAATATCTTTCTGTAAACTTATTGCAAAGGCTATGTCAGAAAACTTTCTCAATCGTCCACGTCATTGAATTCGATACCTCTACTTCAGGTCGATTTTGATCAGTTGAGTGTGGCCAACCAATCCGAAACTTCAATTCTTGCGTCTAGAAACACCGGATGGATTGTAACATATCAATAGTAGGCATTACTACTATTTCCTGCATGATCTCCGGAGAGAATCAAGGCTCCATCAAGCAATGCCCGGAGA